CCGACACGCGTGTTCCTATTGGCTGTTGGCGGTGGTGGGGGGAGGAGTCACCCCCCACGCCGTCCTGTAGGGGGAGCCACCAATTCCCACGTTTCTCGGGTCTGGGAATTGAATTTGGGGGGTGGGTGGGAAATGTTTATTTAGACTATGTACTGGAGGAATCTTGATGAGCTGTAAAGCTCTTTCTTTTTTTTGTTTCCCTCCCCCACCCACCACCACCCACCACCACCCTCATCCACCACCCTCATCCACCACCCACCCACCACCACCCCCACCCACCACCACCCTCACCCACCACCACCCTCACCCACCCCCTACCCTCACCTACCACCACCACCACCACCCACCCTCACCCACCCCCACCCACCACCCTCACCCACCACCACCCTCACCCACCACCAGCCACCCACCACCACCCACCACATCTTTATACTTGCGCGATCTCACCCAAAAACCTTTATTTTGAATGATATTGGTCGCGAAAGCCTACGTGTTAAACTCCAATAAAGGTTAACAAATCACCAGAAATAGAGGTTTTGTTGGGTTAGATCGCTTACATATAAATGTGCCGTTAAACCCGCCACCATCCGACACAGCCAATTAGTAAGGTTTGTCACGTAAACAGAACGTGCCAATTCGTTACGGGTTTAACGATGCATTTATATTGACGCGATCTAACCCAAAAAACCTCGTATGGATAGCATTAGTCGCGAAAGCGTACGTGATAAACAAATCACCCAAACAAATACAACGATTTTCTATATTTCCATTACTATCGTTTTTTGTATCGTTTGCTCTTACAACTTGCTGACTCGCCCATACTGAACATCTGTGAAAATATTTCCATAGCTCATCAGATCCTTCCAGTCTAAATAAAGATTATAATTCTAAATGTGGATGGAAAAACCCGGAGTACCCGGAGAAAAATCAATGCGACCACGTGGAGAGAAAACGTGCAAACTCCACACATACATGGGTCAGGGTCAGGATCAAACTCACCGTCTCCTGTATACCAGGCGAGGTAGTTAACATCTCACCACCGTGGCGCCCTAAATTACATTGTGGTGGGCAGATATTCGCTTCAGGAGGAGTGGAGTGTATCGCTGCTGTGATGATAACGATGCCCCCTTCGTATTTGTGAATCAGGCGCTGAGTCGTGCTAAGTTTCTAGGGTTCTGTTCTGGGTGACTACAGTCACCACCCATTGTGCATCAGATATCTGCAACTGCCAAGGGTGGCACAGTCGGGTTTTTTACAATTGGGTTTAATTGTCTTTTTATATTAAACCCGATCATCTGAGATTGGGAGAAATCCGGTTTAATTGGTTCTAATTGCAGAACCGCACTTCTCAACGATGGGCTTCATCCATTCCAAGCTAAGGAACTCACTGGCGCCCACGATTGTGGAGGAGAAGCTCCTCGTGTTCATCAAGACCAACCTGCCCGCCGCATTCTACGACTACCCCGTGCCTGATGGCCCCGAGTACGATAGCAGCACCGACGAGGAAGCAGCCTAAGCCTATCAGAGTTTCGTAATCATTAAACCAGGTTTTAAATTCCCCGAAATCGGGTTTAATTAACATAAAGAAAAAAGCCGATGCCTGCCGCAAAAAAAATCGTGTTTTTTCCACCCACGGCAACTGCTGGCACGGTTTGTGCCGATGCGGTTTAGGGATGGCCAACACATTCCTGCGGAGGGAGCTGGTAGGAACTTTGGGTTGCTCGGTCAATGGCCAGGGTCAACGGCGGCGTGGTGTATTCTGCAAATATGCCCGACTGTGAGGGCGGGCACAAGCCGGCGTGAGTAGGTTAAACGTTGAGTTTTATAAGGGCACCACAGGGTGACCAGCCCCTCCCCACCCAGCCCCACCCCTCCCACAACCCCCACCCAACCCCACCCTCTCCACCCAGCCCCTCCCCACCCAGCCCCTCCCCACCCTCCCCTCTCCACCCAGCCCCTCCCTGTACGACGGACACAATAATCCCCTGTGGGCTGGTGTAACCAGGAGGTTCCTACCAGGATAAGCTTCGCTGCTTTGTGAAGCCAGGCGGTGGGGGGTGGTCCTCTTTGAGAGGTGAAAGTAACAATTAAATCAGAATCTTTGTATTGGGGGAATCCTATTAGAGGCCGTCCATAAATGACGTCACGCACCTAGGGGGGGGGGGGGTCAGACATTTGTGACGATGTGTGACGAGGGGGGGTTTGAGAAATGTGACGTCACATCTAAATGCGTAACTTTAAATAAATATAGACAGCACGTTCTACTTAATTAAATATACTTTTTAATAAATGTCTTCTCCTACAACATCAGAGTGCAGCGCCACATTAAATACGCACTACAATGACAATAGTTTAAAGCGATCTGAAGCATGTTTTATTTTTTTTTGGGGGGGGGGGCAGAGCTTTGTGACGTCATATTTTATGGGGGGGGGTCTGACTTTTGTGACGCCGTGTGACGAAGGGGGGGGGGGGTGAAAAACCGTCCAAAATTGCGTGACGTCATTTATGGACGGCCCCTTACGTATTAAGCTCTTTTTCACAATTGTCCAGTAGGGCGGGTAAGGGAGTTACAACAGCAAATACAAAAAAAATGGAGTGTAAAACAGAGAAAATGGTAAGCAAGTCACTTAAAACTAAGATATATATATATTTTTATGTATCATGTAAAACCTACTGAATAACAGTATTAGCTTCTTTTTCAGAAGCGACCTGGCCACAAATGATTGCTCAGCGAAGTGGCTTATCACGTGCAAATCTACTGCAGCCAAATAATATAATATAAACACATAACAATCATAAGAATCCCACTATCCAAGATTAAAAGACAAATTATTACACGAATAAATCACTACCATTGAATAAAATAACACAACCTTTGAATGGAATAGGCTGAAAATAAACATAGCACTGCTCTGAATAGAATGAAACGGCATTTGTTTACACGAAACATTACCCATCTGTTACACGATGCAATGGAACATTGGTTTGGGAGAGCGGAACTGCCTGATTCAACACAATTGGCTGATTTCACTCCCCACCCCCCCTTCGTCACACGCATTTCCACGTTAATTTGTCAACAAAAATGTAATGCACGCAACACATCTTCAAGTTATATGTATACCGTACTTGCAATTACACTGATAAATAAATATGAACACGTGATTTAGATCATTTACGGTGGTTAATAACATCATTCAAAGTTACAGTGAATTGTTTTGGGCAGGACATGCTATTGCTCCTTCACATACTTTGCAATTGTGCTATCTACAGTTTAACACGTAGGCTTCCACGACCAATATTATCCATAATAGAGGTTTTTTGGGGTTAGATCGCATAATATAAATGTGTCGTTACATTTTTAATGTTATGGGTTTACTCTCCAACACACCGGTGTGCTGTACTAGTAACGAATTGGCATGCTTTGTTTACGTTGCAAATGTTACTAATTGTCTGTGTCGGGTGGTGGCGGGTTTAAACGACACATTTATATTTACACGATCTAACCCAAACAAACCTCTATTATGTGCTATCTACATCAGGTTATCGTATGATGAACTAAACAACCACTCGGATATCCCGCAAAGCATTGCAACCCTTTGTGTTAGAGAATGATCCACGGAAGTAGATACCACAAAACTGCTGTCCCTATTGACATCCCGTAAAGTAACCTCTGATCCACACACAGCAGTGGGGCAGCCTATTTTGCGAGGTCATTGTTGACTGGGATGAGACCATCAACTCACTAACTCAATTACCCAGGGCGCCCTTGGCAAAGAGACGATGTTGCGTGTTGTTTCAATGGGTGGATTTCATAAGCTGTGGGGGCAGTGGTGGCGCAGAGCCTGGGTTGATTGATCACACAAATGTCGCGAAATTCCCATCCCGTGTCTCCCAGGAGAATGCAGTAGGGTACAGCTAAATGTTGGCTCTACCTGCTCCGTATGTATGGGATAGCGTTTCCCCCCTCGCACGCGTGGGTTTTCTCCGGGTGCTCAGCTTTCCTCTCCCATGTAAACACCAATGAATTGGCCGGTAACACCTTGACATATATATATATAGGACGCCAGAGCTCAAGCAATTGTTGACGCCGCCTCGTCGCGTAGCTTTGCCGTCCTGCTTGCCCGCGGTTCATCGCGCCTCCTTGGGTGTTTGGAGTGAGCGAGCGAATCACACCAACTTTGAGAACCCGATTTAATATCAAAGTTGCCAAAACTCAGCGGATCTGATCCACATCGATACACACCAGCCCCCAAAACCCAGCCACTTCACCAAGTGACCGAACGTGAGTACCCCACTCCTCCCAAACAATCACGCAAGCGAAATTCAATACCCCACGGCCGCCACCGCTGGCTGGCTGGGTTTTGTGGGACAATAGTGGCTCGGCGAAAATAAAAAATAAAAAACACGGAGGCGAGCGGTCAACGTGTCTGTCTGTGCCTTTATAGGTGCTCGCCAACAGCACTTGCCCCTACAGTCTGTTAAGGCTATACGGGGGATCTTTGTCTTATCTTTGTGTTGTGTGCTGTGGTGTGGCATGTAGGGAGCGGTGGTGTAGCGGTTAGCGCCACGAACCCGGCCACCCGGGTTCGATTCCCGCTCACGGCCACCAAACACCCAGTGACGATTTTTCTGAACCGGTCCTTGGCCTCCCCTAGGTCGACTCAGCCTCAAATGAGTAGCTGGTGTGGTGTGTAAAAACATCGCCACTGGGGGAGACAAAAGCGGCCGGGCGTGGTGTTGGCCACTCACCCCCTCGTGTACGGTTCGGGCCTTAATAGGTGTTCGCTAACAGCACTTGCCCCTCCAGTCTGTCAAGGCTATACGGGGGACCTTTGTCTTTGTTGTTGTTGTGGTGGTGGTGCGTGTGTGTGCGGTGTATTCTGGCGCGACAGACAGAGGCGATTGCCGGCATCTGTCGGGACGACTCGACGTGCCCGCGCTCTAGCGCCTTCGCTGCTCGCACCGAGGTCGTGGTCTCGTGCCCCCCTCGCGGTCACGTGGTGCCGGCGGAGAGTTGTGGGTTGCTCCACGCGCCTTATTTACCTTCGCCGCTTTCTCGCGGCAACGTTAGCAACTTAAACGCGTACAAAGTCGTCGGTGCGCTCCCCCCCCCCTTCCCTCCCCTATTTTTTTACATTTTGTTGTTCAAACGTCACGTCGCAATTCAATGCAAGAAAGAAGAGCGACGAGACGCACGCTTTTTTGGACACGAGGCTGCTGAGCTCGACTTCCCACCCCCCCCTCACCCCCCGATTTCACGCGGGGCCACCCCCCCCCTCCTCCCGCCGGGGCTGGCTAGGCAAGACCGAGGCTGCGGCCTGGAGGGCCCGGGCCGCGTCTCGAGTTTTTTTTTGTTTCCTTCGCGCACAGCTCGGTCATGGCGAGCGTGGAGGTGAGAGAAGCGGCGGCGAAGTGGGGGGGTGGGGTGGGGCAAGTCAGTTTTGTTGTGTTTTTGGTTCGTCGCCATGCGTGGCTGCAAGAGTGCAGCACGGGAGGTGAAGGAGGGGGGTGGAGTGCGCGCCCTCCCGTGGCCATTACTCGAGATTTTGCGCGTCAGCCGCTCTGCTCGTTGTTGGAAGTTTTGAGACGAGTTTGTTAGCGGCTCTTAACTCGCAATTGTTCCGTCAGGCGGTCGGGCAACTTGCAATGTGTCCGCCCCGTCGTCAGGGCTGTTTGATTCGGACTAGAACGACGCTTGCCACTGCGGGGTTGGTGACGGGGTGGTGGAGGAGAGGGCAGCCAGGGACCGGTTTTTGATGTACCGTACTAACATTGTCCTGTATAACATTAAATAACCTTTTGCTATTCGCGCCATCCTTACAGCGCAAGGCTGTCACAGATGTGCAATGATTCACAGCGCAGTGTCGTTGTGTGTGTGTGGTTTATTTTAAATGATGATCTAAACACGTGGTGGGTTGCGGTGGTGGTGGTGGTGGCGCACTGCATCCAACCGGCTGAGAGATTCTCGGGCACGGTCAACTTCAGTGGAGAGTGGACATTGAACCGTGTCTGAACCAGCGTGGTGAAGTATGGTCAGACTTAATCCAGCAGTTGGTTTGATACAGGGTTGTACAATATTTAAAGATGCAACAGGCGGGATGGAAGTGGCATTTTTTTAGTCGGCAGGTCCCGTTTTTTTTACTAAATTCCGTTCATTATTTCAGCGGGGTTTTTTTTGTGTGATTGCACCGTGAAATGCCTTGCCTACAGTAAATCAATGACAGTACATTGTTTCGATTTAAAGCTTTCGTAACTGCAGGGATTACTCTTCTTGGTTCTTTCGGTAAAGTCACGTAGAAGGGAAGTAATAAAATAATAAAAAGAAAACATAATAAAATTCAATTCTCACGACGTTTCGGCCACAACGCAAGCAGCCGTCCTCAGGTGAAGAACAAGGCTGATTGCGTTGTGGCCGAAACGTCGTGAGAATTTTATTGTTTTATTTTCATTATTTTGTTATTTCCCTTCTACGTGACTTTACCGAAAGAACCAAGAAGATACAGTACATCGTGTCAAACATATCTCTGTGGCACAGGACATTGATTGTGAGAGCCCCAGATACAATCACATCAGAAATGCTGCGAATTTTTTTTATAAAAAATACCTTCGACTTGTTTTGGAAACTTGGGGTTCACAACCGATTGCAACATCATTAAGTTTATATGCGTATCGCAATTACAATGAAAACGCCTTTCTGTTATTGTAATAGCCGTATGATGCGCAACCTTTTAGGGAAATTTATTACAGCTGCAGTAATTCGCCACTTACAAATTTAATTTTGTGTTTGGCTGCTTACTATTTTCTCCAAATTAAGTATTTTGTCTGCGGTTGGTTGGCAGTGGTTTGTGTACGCAGGACAACTTTACCCGGCCATGTGAATGTGGAACTTCCACCACTGGCTCAGGGCTGTAAACAGGGAAACCACTGCACTTTGAGTACGATGACTTTAAGATACATAGGCTATTGTTGTATTACATAATTCAAAAACTGGCAGTGTCTTAAGGCCGAAAGCGATGTACTAATGTTCATTTTCTTGGTGGGAGGGATCACGCAACTTGTAGCCTGTTTCCTGTATTAACATAAATTGGGACAACACTTCAGTTAATTGTGAAATAAAATGCCTTTCATGTTTTTTTATATTTAGACAGCCTGCAGATTGTATAATCCGATTAATCCATCATGCCTATTCAGTTGGAATGATGCCACTCGTGTTCTAAGCTGATCACACTAACGCCGCTAGGGTTAACACACGTGCACGCCAGGCGTTCACTCGTCTTGAACGCGTGGTGCCACAAACCACGAAGTCAAAACATGCAACGAGGAAACACGTGACACATGCCTGCTTATCACAGCCGCGCAGCCTGAGACCATAAACCAAACCAATAACAGTAATTGCACTCCATTACCACGTTAGGTTTGTTATAAACAAATACATTAAACAGTAATTTTTGTGTATCATCAAAATACAAAGGTGTCCACGTCCTTAGTAGAGTCGTGTCCCTTGTCATCAGAGTGATGTAATGGATTAGCACATGTTAGCCGATACATATTTAGAATGTCTACTACAGTTCATATAACCTTGTTTACTCGTTATCAGGTGTATGCTAATATTAGGCTGCAATCTCACACAAGGTTTGATACCGAAATGTCCTCTCAAGAGAAGACTGGACAAAATGAAAATCTAAACCACAATGGGATAATGAGGTCATAAACTAGTGTAGCCTCTTCTTGGTTCTTTCGGTAAAGTCATGTAGAATGGAAAAAATTAAATAATAAAAATAAAACATAATACAATAATTCTCACGACGTTTCGGCCACAACGCAAGCAGCCGTCCTCAGGTGAAGAACAGGTCTGTCGAGAAGACAGCGTCTGAATGCCTTATAAACATTTCCCCACTAGGAGTTTTATTAAATTGTGTATTCTGGCCTCATGTCTATGCTGGCCAGGAAGCAGACAAGATGGGGAAGATGGGGGACAAGATCGGTGAGAAATATAACAAGAAATTGCCCCATCGGTTGGGAATAGCTTATGAGGTGGGGGCAAGGCTGGAGGCCCAAGACTATCTGCTTAAGTGGTGAGTTTGCTCCAGCATTCCGTGTCAAGTCACTGCTGTACACTATATCACCACCCCCACAGTTTTTCAACTCCAGGTTGTGATATGCAATAATGTTATTGTTGGTAACTAAACATCAATATCTAAGTACAGAAATCTGTGATTGCTAATTAAGCAGTTTTCAAAAAAAAAATGCTGAAGCTAAATGGAGGTTTCTCAATAAACAAGACATTACTGGTACTACTGCATAAGTTTCAACAGTTATACTGTATCGCTCTGCAATGTGTTTTCAAGTTGCATTATTTGGGATGTCTGACGTTCCACTCCACATTTTGGGAGTTTTTGTATACCATCAGCTTTTTTTCAGTTCAGATTTATTCAGATGCCAAACAACACATGGATGTAACTCAGAAACATTGAAGAGCAATAGAAAGCTATCCGTGGTGTACAGAATTCCGTCTAACACTGTCGAACCCTTGATATCCACAGGTACCCTTCCCGCATTGAGAAAGTAGACCCAGACGAGGGTAAGATTTTGATCCACTTTGAGCGTTGGAACCACCGTTACGATGAGTGGATTGACTGCAACAGCCCGCGGCTGAGACCGCTACAGCGAACCTCGCTCCGTCGCGAAGGCCTTAAGCAAGAGGAGCCAACTGTTGGGGCAGTGGTACGTTCCTGCCTGGCTATGACGTTTACGTACAGATTTACTTTACAGAGAAAAAAAATTCAAGTTATTAGCAATGCTTGTAAACCAGTGGATTGTTTTGATTGTTGAATTGTAGTGCATTTTATGTGTATAAGTTTAACTTTTAATATTGAGTACATTTATATACTGAATTAAAAAAAAAACACCTGGATTTGGGTGCAAATGTTTAGATTTGTGTATTTTGATGTTTTAGCCATTTAAGGTCGGGGATGAGGTGCTGGCTAGGTGGATTGACTGCAGATACTACCCAGCGAAAATCGTCACGATCAACAAAGAAGGTACGACAATCACATCATCTGTATAAAGAGAACATTTTCAAAAATGTTTGCATCTGTTTTTCAATAAAAAAATAGATAGGAAATTTTAAATAGTTCAATGACAACATTACATGTAAATAAACTTGAAATTATAATGTTGAATTGAAATGTAATTGTGTTGAAATTATCAATTGTTACATTTTGTATCTAGAGCCAAAGTGATGTATGCTATGCAGATATCTATAGAAATAGTTTAAGCAATCTTGATTTGCAGCTTTCGTGACTGCAGGAATCCATACTCTCTGGTTCTTTCGGTAAAGTCACGTAGGTAGAATTTTTTGTTAAAATAATAATTGTAATAAAAAATGTTTTTATATATATATTGTTTCTACCTACGTGACTTTACCGAAAGAACCAGAGAGTATAGTTTAAGCAATGTTTGCTGTAAATTTAATAAAGGAAACATAGCATGCATTGAAATTATGTGGCAGCTATCTTAATGTTATGTTTTTGTTTCAGATACTTACAGCGTGCGATTTTATGATGGATTTGTGAAAGACGTGAAAAGCATAAATGTGAAAGAGATGCCAGAGGATTTGAAAAACCAGGTATGCATTGCTTTGTTTTTACAATGATTTATTGTTTCAAATGATACTGCAAAACCCATAGCTTATGAAAATTATGCCTAAAAGGTCTACAATTATATATAACTAGGGATTGTTCGGGGGCGCCTTTGGTGCCCCCTTACAACCATTTATGGCCTTCAGCCAGGAAAGTCACGAAAAAATTGCACACGAACGACGAATTCGCGCAAACACCAGATCCTCCGTGATGAAGTTTTAAAATGAAACATCTTTGAATTGTATTATGTTTGGAATTAGATCATTTATTTCTTCATTAAAAGCTTATATCATTTTATATCTGGAAGACTTAATTGAAAACGACATTTCGCGTCAATTTTCTCTCGTCGTTAAGTAAGATGGCCTTGCTGGAGGTTCGATTTGATGCGGACTTTCACCTGTTTGGGATTGCGGGATCGAGATAAGGCGACATAGATCTGGCCTGCGAGAAGACCGCTGTCTGCAGGTTGATTCCAACGTAATCGACCGTCTGTCCCTGCGCCTCCGTCGTTCATGCAGGGGGCGTATAGGTTTGTAGCGCCCCCTACATGAAAACGACAGGAAAGTGCAGCGTTCATCACAGATAGATCAAGTTGTACGCTTATATAAGAGAATATGTACATAGAGATTTAGGTTTCAAGAGTACATTAGATAGAGTATCTCAGTTAACATAAGGCTTGTGTAACTCTGCAAGTTATAGATGATTTAAATATATATGGTAAAGGCCTCGACATCTGCTCGGGTTTGGTTCTTGAAAAATCTGTGCAAAAGTAGAATTTGCGAATGTATATACTATGTTTATATGGAAAAAATGGAGTTAGGCTTCCATGTCCGACTGAACGTATGTGAGAACATTAAAATATTCATAACATTAATCCCTTACTGTACACATTGTGCTAAAATACAATTAGATACAAAAACATCAATAAATTGTGCTTTAAAATTTGAAGTTTAATTCACCTTGAACGACAATGGGGGTGTGATGATACTACTTTGGCAGTCGTTGGTGCACTTGCCGCCGCACTTTCCATAATTGCCTTGTCATTTTTCTTTAAAATATCTGACTGTTGACTCGTTTACCGTATAAATAGCAGCCAACAGCAGACACATTGTTAACACGAGCAAGTTTATCTAAAAACCCTACTTTTTGAGCCAGACTCATAACTTTCATGTTCTGCCTTTTATTCTTGCTCTCACTCACTCCCTTGACGCTTAGACGCCATGATCGAAATTACAAAAACAAAATGCTAATAATGCATAAATAGCACAAAAGGCAACGGGCACTTGAAGAGTAAAATCTTCGGCGTGTGGATCATGGCACAAGCCACTACTGTCCTGGGCAAGTACAGTAGCCCTCCGTCATGATGCGATGTTGCCAAATTGCGAATAGTCTAAGGAAAAAATACACGAAAATAATAAACTGATATACAACTATAAAATCGCGAATAATCGAAATTTGCTAAAGAAAAATCCGCAAATGAAGAGGTTTTACTGACATTCAAAAATGTTCTCACAAATGCTATGATTATGAAGGTAGACCAAAGTTATGAATGAATACATAAACTCTGAAACGGGGGTAAAATGCATTAAAATATCACATTTGGTGACTTGGAAAAGTAGGTTAAAGATGAGATGATCAGATAAATGGGAAGTTTAGCATCATTAGCATTGGAGTGAAGAATGATAGTTCATCATCTATTACAGTTCACAGCCTTTTGCATAAATGATTAATTTTGCAAATGTACAAGGACAAGCACAGCTTATAACATTTTTATTGTTATGATTCTCATGGACAAACCCTGGATTGTCTGAAGTCTCATCAACATATTCAACACATGCAGTGATCACATCCTGGTGTGATGCGAGTGGCGCTTCAATATCAATTTAACTCTAAGAAATGCCTAGAGGAGGAAAATGGTAAAATGGACATTACCACTTGACATAATTAAGTGACAAGACTAGTAATTGTTAATTCAATAAAAGTGGATGGAAGGGTTAAACAATTTATCTGAAACCACAAAAGGCACATTGAGGAACAAAAGACGTGCAAAGAAATGGACACACTGTACAAAACGTTGAATACACAACTCTTATGGAAAGATTAGGAAAGGATTGAGAAAATACATTGGAGAACACAACACAAAAGTAATTGAAAGATGCCACAGAAAGCAGACAAAAGGAGGTTTCTCGAGCAATTTATAATCCGTAGCCCTTGGAGAAGGATGGAGCAATAACACTTGATAAAGATTTAATCTTGACATCTGTCGAGAATTGTTTTCAGATCTCTAATGCAAAACTTAATATGTGCCTGGAATCAAACAAGATGTCACACTTTCTAGCACTGCCCTTCAAAGGATGAACAAAAATGAAATTTCCTGGGCAGATGGTGTCACTGTGGACATCGTTGGGATTAAATGTTGGAACACAATTATTGGATCTTTTCACTAAATGTTTACACATAAGTAAATAGCTAAATTATAGAAAGATGCCTCAATCATTTGATGCAATACATTTTATTAAACCGACTTGAATAATTACAGATCCATTAGTCCCATATAGCACGTATATAAATTGTTTCTTAAGATCATTGGTAACAGAATAAAACATAGTAGAGGCTTAACCGACCATGTGAGAAAGCAGGCTTCATGAAAACTTTCTCTACTCCTGATCACATCCATCCTATTACACGGAGACACAAAAAATAACTCATGGATTGGAAAATATATGCACGTCAAACATATTATGGACAAACAATTCATGATGACTGTTATGTAAGTTTTCTTGGGCAGGACACTTTGCTAGACTGGGATGAAGGACAGTGGTCGAGGTTGATGGATTGGCAGCAAAAGGAGAGAACATCTATAAGGATGTCCACCATGGATTAGCTCGTGTAGGAGCCCATCTGGATTGTTACATCACAAAACCATGAAAGATGGTGACAACTTGGGAAAGCCTTCATTAGGCAGTGGATAGATGAAAGCTGATGATATATGACATCTGTACAACAGTTTTTTTTGTATAAACCGCTTGTAACATTAGTAATATATTTACTCTGTCTAATGTGGTACAATTGCAATGGTTAGTGTATGTGATGCATGCGTATTACTCTTTTGTTCTTTCGGTAAAGTCACGTATAAAGATAAAATAATAAATTAAATACTAGCATACGACGTTTCGATTGCAACACAAGCAATCATCATCAGGTATAAATGAAATAGAAACACAAATCTAGTATACTTAGAAATGTAATGTAATACTTAGAAATGTAATGTAATACAAGTATACTAGATTTGTGTTTCTATTTCATTTATACCTGATGACGATTGCTCGTGTTGCAATCGAAACGTCGTATGCTAGTATTTAATTTATTATTTTATCTTTATACATGACTTTACCGATAGAACCAAAGAGTAATTCCTGCAGTCACCAAAGCTCCAAATTAAGTTTCATGCATGCGTATATTTATGGAGCCTTCATTACTTTGTTATTTGGAATTAACACGTTAAAATTAAAATTCCATGCACTTTCCACTGCTACACCAAAGCATGAAGTGACAATTGACACTGATTGAAAATGTTTTGGCACCATTACACTCGTTTTTGCTGTTTGAGCATTTAAATAATTGTCTTTGAACGTAAATATATTAATTAACTTTGAAAATGTGATAATGTCACTCATTTTCTTTAATAGAAAATTGAACAAAATAATATTTTGCAACGAATAGCTGAAGGAAAAAAACCCCACTTTATTAAATATTTTACGGTGTGTTTGTGGCTTTGCACTCTGCTTAAGTCGGACAGAAAGTGCCAACAGCATTTGGTCTAAGTGCTGCAACGATTATTGGAATATATCGATTCATTGTATATTAAAATGACCGCTTCTTTAACAAACGATGCATTTGCATCCGTTTGAAAATGGCAGATACCAGACAACCCAGTCTCCAAAATGTTGGAAACTCGCCACAGGGCACGTCTATCATGATTTGGTAATGCGTGATGACATCACCAATCCCCCCCTCGGATCTGATGTCACATGTATTATAAGTAACCGTATAGTGTTAGCATTATATTCTTATTTTTGGTTCTTTCGGTAAAGTCACGTAGAAGGGAAATAATAAAATAATAAAAATTCTCACGACGTTTCGACTGCAACACGACGTTTCGATTGCTTGTGTTGTAGTCGAAACGTCGTGATAATTTGTTATTGTTTTATATTTTTATTATTTTATTATTTCCCTTCTACGTGACTTTACCGAAAGAACCAAGAAGATGAATCCCCGTAGTCACGAAAGCTTTAAATCGAAATTTAACTGCCAAATACTTAGAAACTCCTTCCCACAGTCACAATCAGACTAATGTCCTCACTCATTCACGTGTTGTCGTGTGGTGGGGAGCTTGTGTGACAGCTCGTTTTTTTTCCCCATGTAGCTAGAGCAGAGTGCTAAAGGCCTTAACAATATGTGCAGGGCATGCTGATTTCGTACACTCTCAACGCATGCACAGACCCAGTGCAATGGAACGTGCCGTATTGCAGAAATGTAACTGCGTATAACTTGACGTACGTGAACAAATTTGTAGTAAAACGTTTGCCCGAGAGCTACAGGATTTTTGAACCTACAAAATGCTTAATTTAAAAGAATACCATTGTGTGATTTTTCAGTTTGAAAATTAAATATACATGGTGGTCCATATGTCTTGTGACTCCCGTTGAATGCTCTCAATCTTAAAGTATTTGTCAACACAAATGAATAAGCAAAGGGAAAAAACATTTGGGGTCAAATAATTGGAGGGGTCATAAGGACCTCTGGACCACCCTGTAGAATACAATGGCACTTTAGAAAAATCTCAACGATTGTTAACGTTTTTATATCATTTTTATATTTGACAAGCACAATTGTCTGTTATTATACAGTACAGCAGTGTGCGCATTGGTGGTTACATTAAGATGATTGGGAAAGCGCCAGTGTTCTCTACTTAGCGCATCATTGTGATGAAGAACCCCCCCACCCCACCCCACCAACATAGATTCGCTTCTCTTCCATCATAGGTAGAAAAGATTACTAATGTTTTAAAGGGCATCTGGCTACTGGCAAGCCCAATTCTGGGAGGGGCTGTGGGTTATTTGGCTCTAATGCGAGCTATTGATCCTGTTGCATACGTTATTTAGCGACAGAAACTGGTGAAACCGCTTTGGCCGTCGGGCGGTGGCTGTAAGCAGACTACTAATCGCAGGGAGCCCGTGTGCGCTGTTTGCCGGTCCTCGTCTCAACATCGGGTGGAGGAGGGGGAGGGAAGATGTTGTGGTTGTTGATCCTCCTCCAGTTCCGTGCCAGTGCCTTCACGTGGCGTTAAGGTGGTGGTGGTGGATGGCACAACGCGTGCGCGAGGCTGCATTGTAAAACCCCGCATGAGCGATTTTGCGGTGCCTTTAAATAGCCTGCTGCGTTGCGCAGGGTACGAGAGTGAAATGCTCCCTCCTGCCGTCTTCCTTGTACTGTAACTGCAGGAGAGTCGCGAGAGCACGCGGTGCTCCTAGCGAGCACTGCACTGTACGCTGCGTGTTTTGACGAGAGGGATTTTGACGGCAGAAGGCGCATCTTCGTGGAAACAATTTGGATTAGAGTAGCTCGTGTGCCCTCCTGTTAAATAATCGCAGTTCCACTGGAGTCGTCCTCCTGCTTAAAGTCCCACGGGGTGAATATTGCCTGCGTTGCACACAGCAGCACAGTGTGTGCCGGTGCTGCATTGCTGTATTTTTAGGTTTGCGACTGCGTGTGCCGTGTTAGAAACTGCATTATTTGATAACTGTGCTGTGTTGCTGCATCGCTGCGAAAAGGCGTGCGAAGTATATGACACGTATGTCTTTCGGCTGCACAACTTTTTATTGTGTTTTGTCATTTCGGTAATGATGAAAACTGTGTGTGTGTGTATTGCAGTGCCAGTGTCATGCTGTGTTTTCATTAACATTACAGAATTGTGTGCAAATGATGATATGTAAATCAACTAGTATCACAACATTTGGCTGTCTATTGAATTGGATAATTTAACCTAACTGCAGTGTTGTGTCTGATACTGATGCCAGTCTGCCGAAGATAACAATCAATTGACAGTATAAATACACTGGGAGTTGCAATGAGCATATATAGCCTGCATTTAATTGTAATTTTACGTGATATTAATTTTGCCTGTGTTAGTCGTAAGTTATCCATTGCTGCAAAACATTTAATTCACATCTGTGATTACATTGGGCTTTGTTATTAGAATCGCGGGGGGGGGGGGGGGTAAACTATTATACAATATATGCACCGAATGCATCGTAATTTGTACTCTGGATTTTAAAAGATGTAATCCGTGCAAAAGCAGTAAGGGTAAAAGTCATCCACATCATGTTGAATTGTACTGAGCCACACAATTTCATCCGTCCCTTCGACCCTCATCCCCCACCACCGCCGCGGATTCAGGACTGGACAGCTATCGTGAAGAGCACCGTAGAGGCACAAGCGTTGGAGCAGGCGGCCAACAAGTCCCGGGCACGTGCAGGGCACCACCAGGCAGTGCACCAACAGACGGGGCAGCAGGCTGCCCACGTCGAGGAGGAGGAGGAGGAGGGCGCTCGTAAGGGCAGGCGGAGCGACGCGGAGGAAGGCAGCGAAAGCGAGAAAGCGCTGCCCCAACCACAAAAGCAGCGCAGTGCTGAAGCTCGCCAACGTGAGGCTCTCACACTCCCTGGGCGTCACGTGCCCCCACTGCAGCATGCTTTAAGGCTACAAGCACTGACTCAAAAGCAGCAGTGCCGCACGCCACACCGTTTGGGAGCAGTCGTGAGTGTGTGTTCGTGCGTGCAGGTGGATGTGCTTTTATGTTTGGTAATAATTAATGAAAACGTCTTTGTTCGTATGGGTAAGTGTGTGACGTAATATTATTTCATTTTAGTTTCTTACTGGACGATATAATACATTGCTTACAAATTATTAGAAATGTTGAATACAACTTAAATAATTTTCACATGTACTGTATATTCAGTGGAGATGGCAGTGAATCGTTTTTTACTGGTGGAAGAACCGGCTTATCAAGGAAGCTTTTCTTTTCTTGTGTTCATTCCTACCCATCCACATTCCTGATAAAGCGACCAGTGCTCTAATTTAAGCACAAATGCCCTGGGGGAAGAAAGGTTCACTGCCGATCAGCTTCTTATAGTTTTTATTTGTCATTGTGTTCATGTTATTGTTTCATACTTCGTCCTTAAGACTGCAAATTTAGTCTTTGGGTTTAAAACCATGTTTCATCACGTTTACAACTTAACAATGCACATTCAAAAATGTAAGTTATCGCAATGTGCGGTTTGTAAAATGTGTCGCATTTTTAGCAGCGAGCCTTCTGCAGTCAAAGGTTATGGCAGCAAAGAAGAGAAAGTCAGCGTTCATGGGAGCCTTCCAGGCAAAGAGGGCACGGCTCAATCAGCTGACAGGTAGGCTGTGCTGTGTGGGAGGGCGCGACGTTAATCCCCCTTACCAAGCATTGACTAATGTCGATGCAAGTCTTTAACAACCATTTAGTTACGTTTTCCGTTGATATATTTGCACGTTACTTATTTCAAACAATAGGCGTTACTTAACCTTTGCATTAAGAAGCTCACGTATGTGTATCTCTCAACTGGTATTTTTACAGTCGAGAGATACATTGAGATGTCTATTTTGTTGCATACAATGTATTGTTAATTTTCCGTCATGAAATGTGTAATTATGACGAGTTTGTTTCAATAAGCACGTCTTGTGTTGTTGGCAAAGGTATAAAGTGCATGGTTCATATTATCACAACATTCCTCTAAAATTGCTTTTCTGGGATCAACATCCTGAATATGCCATGGCTTAAAGTCGGTATGTGTTGTTTATCAGGAATTTTGGCTTCTAAACTTTCTCGACGCCGAGATGCAGATGTCCAAGACTCCAAGGTAAAAAAAACAAGTCTGTGCATCAATTGGTATGGTTGGTAGATGTGCTAGTTACAAATAAAATACCATTACAGCCACATTAATTAAATTGATGTGTTTTCATGTTAAACTATGATATGATTTCTGTCATTTTGAATAATATATTTTAATAATTATCATAATAAAGTATCACTGCATCTTAAGCCCATTTTCAGGAGGTTCTGTATTGTGAGTGTTGGGCAAGTTCTATCAAATAGTGTTTGGTTTGTGGGAGGAAACCCAGAGAGAACCCAGAGAAAACCCACACATACGAGGTGATAACACTCAAAGCTCTCCTCAGATTTATATTGCTGTACAGCCATTTCCTGCCTTGCATTCCAACATCTGATGAGATCTGGCCTGTTCGGGGTAATTGGGTCACGTAAAATTTAAAGTGTCGGTAAAAAAAATGGTTGTATATTATGGCTTTGCTTTTTGGGTTGTTGCAGGAGCGGCCATCGGAGGCTGTGGAGAACAAGGAAACCTCTCCGCTGAACAGCACACAACCGAGTGGTGAGCTTGGCGATTCCTGCACTTAACAAAAAACAAATTTTGTAATTAAAGAAAAACATCCACAGCGTTTAGTGGCTATCGTTGGCATCCAACACTGGGTTAACGGTGAAAGTGCTCCTTGCATCTTGTAATGGATGCATGTATTGCATATGTTGTAATACAGGATTATCAGTTGAGAGTGCATCTGGCGTGACGCCAGGTGCCATCACAAGGCAGCACTCGCTTCGTCTGCGCCGATCGAGTCGGGCGTCGGCCGGCCTCGCCTCCCCCTCGTCCGACTCTTCCCACTCGCCACGCTCGAACCAGCACGCAGGTTGCCGCTGCCTCCACATGCCCCTTATTAGAGCACTCGGCCCACCTCGGCCAAGTTAGGGTTGTGTAAATCACATGAAAAAAATGTTGTGGGCGGAGAAGTTACTGTAGGATTACAGAAAGTCAAGGACGTGTCATCGTTGTTTTCGAATCGTTGCGTATATAGCTTAAGAGTTTGTACTTCTGTCTGAGTTTATTTATGCGTTTTTGTGTGTGTATGTGTACTTGGCACAGTATGTGTGCACCTTTGTGTAATGTGTGTATATATATACATGTGTGTTCACTTGTGCGGTATAACCTTCACCATGTGATGTCACCATCAACAGAAATCCAGGCTGCAGTCTTTAAATTGCAATTTTCTAAAAGCATTGTCTTGGTTAACACATGATTTGCATTGGGTGTCTCGAGAGGAAGACTTTAGACCAGATGGTGTGATTCTTTTAGGGCAGATCTTTACGGTCACGTTCAGTACTCTGCAGCAGCTGCAGAATCTTAACGGAGGATAGGTGTGAGCGAGGTGTAGTGACGTCAGCGGCTTTGGCCAGGATGACATCTTGATCGTGAGTTGCGTGTGGGTTTATCTGATTCCCCAGGCTCTCCAGGTCAACTCTCCTCACCCGACAGGGGCCTCTCACCGGCTTCTGCCACCAGCGATTCGCCAGGCAGGCGGCGCCGCCCCTCTGCGCTGTCAGAGTCGAGTGCCCACGACAGGACCCAGACTCGGACAGAAGGTACCTCGGCCGGTGGGTAGAGGCAGACGCGCTGCTTGCTGCCTTACGTCAGCGACAGTCAGCCATCGGGAATGCATTATATCTACACTTTAGTCACGCAGATAACGTTTGCAAAAAATAATTAGAATGCATTGGTTGTATTTCTCTAAAGCTTTGTGATTGCGGATTTGGAAATATTTTATAATTTTATGATTGAGTTAAATGCACGTTATATAATTAGAACATGAATGTAATTTATTGAACACAAGTAATGTCTGATAATTTTCAGGCCAGACATTTTAAATACATCTTTGATAACCGTATACTAAGATTGTCAGTTATAGGCTTGCCTCATTGTTCTCTTGGTTTCCAGATGCAAGTTCATCTTCGAAAAGTGAAATGCTGTCTGCGGATGGTAAGGTCATTATGTTGGGGCACCCCATTGTTGAACAGCCCGGCAGCACCCACAGCGATGAGTTACTGTTAGGTATATTCTCTACATACCTACAAGGTCATACAGAGAAGACTTCTCTGGAAGGCTACCCTACCTGTACCTATAAAAGAGTTGGGCGGGGTCTTTGCCTCTCCCTCTCTTCTTTGCCTATTTTATCTTCATTTAGCCCTGCAGTTTTTGGTATGTATGCCAGTTGTTTGCCTGTTTCTCTTGCATTATTTTGTCTTCCTCTTCTGCTGTGGAGAAGACATGCCCCTTTGGTAGTCCCCTTGGATGCAGCAGGCAGACACGTGGTATCTCCCAACTCTTAGCACTGCACGTGTGTATTGCTTTTTTGCCTCCGGACTTACGGCAGGCTTTGAAAGAACGACGCAACCGCGTGGCAGCTGCCTTGCGTTGGCCAGATATTGGCGTGGGTTTGGGGTCGGGTGGTGCCACTGTAGGATGCCCCTTTGGCTGCTCATTGTGTGGGTGTCTACTCTGAAGCAGGCCTGGAATAGGCACCAGTGTAGACTGGAGAGGCCGCTTGTCTACGTACAGCTGGAGGTTGGGCGGCCTTCCAGAGAGTTGTTGTCTTGCAAGGCCTCGTGGGGATACCTAAGAGGATTGGCTGCGGGTGCTGCCAAGGCCTACACAATCTATTTTTACACCTAATGCTCACTTCTTTACCAATTGCTGTGAATAGAAAAATAGTATTCAAGCCGTCTTAAAAGTATAATTCCTAGTATTAAACATTGTCAAACAGCACTTGTAACATTCTTCATCGAGGTATCCTGTAATGTTTGTGTTTTTCAATTTATAGGTTTTTTTATGGTTTTCAAAATCATCGCTGCATGTTAGTTCATGTAAGTATAATTGATTGAAATACAGTGCACGCTCACGTACATACATTGTTATGTTTCAGCAAAGAGAAGAGAAAGGGACAGAAGCAAAGACAAGAAAGAGAAAGAGAAGGATGTGTCCAAATCGAAAAAGAAAAAGAAGAAAAAGAAAAAGACAAGAAAAGGTAATGACAAATTTCGGATTGTGTTTCATCTCTACGGGTGATTTATGGCTGACCTAGAAATGTCATATATCCAAGGCAACTCCTCAATGGTTGGTCTGTACAAGAAATGGGTCACAGGATTCAGCTCTGTAGCATGTTCTAACAAGTGAATTTTAGCTCGCGCAGACTTTCAATGAATTTGTTTTTGGGTCGTACCGCGTGTTATTTCGCACGATGTCCATTATTTTGCGGCACCTGCTGGGAGCTTTTCAGGAACCAGATTGATGAAGTGCCCAGCACGCGAAGTGAAACGTCGGACATCGTGCCCAACAACACGCAGTACAACGTGAAAGCACATCGGAGAGCTGTGTTATGTTAAATGCTGAACATGGACTTCTACGTGAATTAAAGCAAGCGAGTTAATGGATAATTGCTGCTAAATAAGTAAATCAATAAACTGAATTGCGGGGATGAGCATATATGGATGGATGTGTGTGTACAGGGTGTAGGACAAGCGAAAAATATAGTTGAAAAGGTGCCCTTCATGTCACTTTCAGACAGGGTGGGAAGTGTTGTGTTGCACAACGATTAGTCTCTTGGTGATATAAAGTGACAGAACAAAGCATAAAATAACTAAAACACGACTGTGAACACCATCCACATGTTCTTGGTTCTTTCGGTAAAGTCACGTAGAATGGAAATAATAAAATAATGAAAATAAAACATAATAAAATAATTCACACGACGTTTCGGCCACAACGCAAGCAGCCGTCCTGTCTTCTGGACAGACCTGTTCTCCACCTGAGGACGGCTGCTTGGGTTGTGGCCGAAACGTCGTGAGAATGATTTTATTATGTTAAATTTTTATTATTTTATTATTTCCATTCTACGTGACTTTACTGAAAGAACCAAGAAGATGAATCCCTGCAGTCACGAAAGCTTTAAATCGAAATCTTCCACATGGTACAAGAAAGGACAGAATTTACACCAGGAACAAGCGTAGCATGCCGTGCCAAAATTGCGCGCGCGTGTGTGCAGAGAGCACAGACGGTGCCTCGGTGGCGGATTCTGTGGACAGCCTGTCCCTGGGACTGGAGGAGACGTCGGGGAACGCAGACGACTCCCAGGACGAGGACGGAGCCGGTGGGGATGAGATCGTGCGCTGCTCCTGTGGCATCAACGAGGAGACGGGATTCATGATCCAGGTTGGGCTCTACTGGCAGGTGCCAAAAACTAGATTGGGAACGTCGCAGATTCAAAACAATTGGCCTCTATGCACATTGTGTCTGTGTTTAATGTTTGACACGGTACGTATGTTGAACTTCTTTCGCACCGTACGTAGCCAACAGTGCCAATCGGATGTGTGAACTGCTAATCGGTAATGGAGCTGCATGCGTAATCAAGCGCGAATACCCATTTAGGTGTATAGTTTCTGATACATTACTCACAAATGTTGAGGTAAGAATTATCACCGTTTTATACAAAACTGCTCCCATTTTCTCTCAGAATAGCCCTCAACTTTTGATGTGTCTGCATGTGTGTGATTTGTTTTTAACACTAAGAATGTTTGCTTGTTGTTGATGTCGCGCTCCCTCAGAAGGGCATGTGATTTGCTCACATATTGTTGTGTGGGTAGGTCTTATAATTAATAGTATAATTAATCATTCTCATTGTCTAGGGCAGGGGCGGGGAACCTTTTTCTGCCAAGGGCCATTTGGATATTTATAACATCATTCGCGGGCCATACAAAATTATCAGCTTAAAAATTCGTCTGTTATATTTGGTCAAACATTTTATTAACTCACCCCTAATGCGATGGCTGGAACTGCTTCTCTTTGGTGAGGCGTGTGATTTTAGCTGGTATTGATGATGTTGCTACTCGCGACTGCTTATCCAGGTTTGCTCCTAGATTTATTAAATTTAGAGTCCCGCCTGCGGTTGCCTTGGCAGGGCCAGACCAAATGATTTCACGGGCCTCATATGGCTCGCGGGCCGGACGTTCCTCACCCCTGGTTTAGGGGTATATTATGTGTTTATAAATTATAATGCCAGCAGGATACAGCCTTAGAATAGTTACATAATACATGGACTAAAAACAAGTAACACTCTAGCACCAAGACACTTCCAATATAAGTGTTTTAATAATGTCAAAGTATCAACCATTATCTCAGAATAACATCCAGCACTACAATTGTTACAGCAATTCAACAATACAAAAGAAAAAAAACGCGCCCAACATACACGTGATGTAGGCAAGATATTTGTGTCAGAGTTGTATGAAGCGGAGGACTCCAGTATGTCATTCAGCGAGAAGGTTAATTCAAGGGTGAAAGGTGAGATTTGGTGACGTTATAAGTATAGCAGAGACCTGTCAGCATGGCGAGATCTCTTCCTCCTCTCTCAATGCGAAAATATCTTCTTTGCACCAGCACAGAAATCTGTCTGCTGCTGCTGCTCACAAGGACCGCAATCGCCCGATATGGCTGTAGCTGGCCGCTCTGGCCCCGCCTGTGCCGATGGACAGCCGTTTGCACGGCTCCCCAGCTTGCAGTTGCCTTTTGGTGTTGCTCCCGGCGTTACTTCCTTGGTGACACTCGGTTAAACACCTTTCACCCGATGACAGGCCAAGTTGGCTTTGAGATCGATACGTCCAAAACAACATCAACCTCATATGATTTGAATTGCGGTGTTGCGGACATTGACATTGTTCCGCACTCTTTAGTAAGCGTACCAATGAAGTTTAAATAGGAATTTTGGTCTTGATCCCCCCAGAATTATTTGTTGAACTTTGACCTATCCTGGTGCCAACACCAAGCGTTAAGGTTATTCCCTCGTTTAAAAAAAACACTCGTATAAGGTGAACTGAAGGTGAACCCACCAGACGTGAAGTCGCCGCATGTAGTTGTAAATAGGAGTTGCCCGCACGCCTAATGGTCACTGCCTGCCACAAGGAACAAACATGAGATTACATGGATGCGAATTCAAATTAGGTATACTCCAAATAATAATTTTTGTAACTATTTTATTCTAGCAGATGAAGGCCCACTGAGCTATATAGGTTTTTTTCAGAAGCGACCCGGCCACAAATGATAGCTAAACGAAGTGAGTTATCATGTGGACATGTATAGCAGCAAAATTATCTAAACGCATGATTCTAAATGTGGAGGGAAAACCGGAGGACCCGGAGAAAAATCCACGTGACCACGGGAAGAACATGCAAACTCCAAATATACAGCAGATATCTGGGTCAGAATCAAAACCACGACCTCCTGTATACCAGGTGAGGGAGTTAAAATCTGGCCACCGCGAGATGTGAAAAGGCAACCATCACAATGCCAATATCTGGAAAAGCCACACGTAAAAAAATATTACACTTTCTAAGTGTTGGGTAGAGATTGCTGTGACCCTAATCTGCTCTCTTGTCAGTGTGAGATGTGCAGTTGCTGGCAGCACAGTGTCTGCATGGGGTTCACGGAGGAGAACATCCCTGACAGATATTCATGCCATGTGTGCCAGGACCCTCCAGGTAAGTTCGGCTCTTCTTCGGTGCTCTTTGCTCAAAAGTGGCAGTCTTACCTCTCCAACCCATCTCTCGATCACGCCTGCTTCACTAATAACCCCTCGCCTTCATTAGCGAGTATCCCCTCCATCCCTCTCATTGTCCACATGCAACACTTACATCACCTGTTGACCCTGTTTATTGTTGTTTTATTGATTATTTTTATCAAATGTGTTGCAAACTTAGATCATCTACGTTAAACTACAGTTTAAATACTTTCTTAACCTTTCGGTGGGGAAAAAAATAACAACAAATTACTGTATAACACTCAACCTTGGGTTATACCATTAAGATCCTTGAGGTAATTTGCATTTTACGGGAGTGAATGCAGCACACAATTAATATGAACTTTTGTTGGTTCCCATCAGGATGTAATCACAGCCTTGTGATTGGTCAACATTTGAAACATTACCTCTATACATATATTTGGAATAAGCACATTGCACATCTTCCCCTAACGGCAGTCATGCCCCCTTTGAGGTTGGTGCTGCACATTCCTTGTGCCACACAGGGACTGCTACAACTGTGGTTGTTCCCTTGTGCTAGACTGGCAGGACTTTTGGCATGGTTGAGATGAGCCGAGGTGCTAGAGCTGCCGAGGCATTTATCCTCGTAACGTAGTCTCACCGCCGTAATGGCCTTCATCCTTGTGCAACGTGTGGCCGTGCCGCCGTAACGATGACATCTCTGGGTTGGTGGCGGTGCGGGGCAGGCCAGCGCTGGAGCGCACGGTTCGCGTTCGAGCGCGACTGGCTGGTGGAAGGCCGTCTTCAGTCCTTCTCCTTCGCACGCGACAGCTACTGGAGCCGCCACGCGGCCAGCTTTGCGGCGCTGCAGCGCCTGCTGGCCGACATGCACCGCGTGCACGAGGTCATCCACGGCCTCAAGCTCAAGATCCACATCGCCAAGTGAGCGCACACCCATCGGACCCTCCGTGTTCGATAGCCCTAAATAAGTGTTTCTTAACCTGGCGTGCACGCACCTCCTGGGGGTGCGAGACATGTCAGATTTTTCTCGAAGGTAAGTAATGGAAACAAATTAAGCGCGGGCACGTAAGTATTACTACTTGGTTTCATCAAACCTATGTATTTACTAACGTACATGTTTTAATGCTTGAGAACCAAAGGGGGGGGGTGGTGCAAGGCTGCAGTAAAGGTTAAGAACCACCGCCCTAAATTTTGCGCTGATAAAAGTTTCAGTTGGCTTTTTGATTACATGTTTTAATTTAATATTTCACACCTCTAACTTACACTATTGACTTGCTGCAGAAATCATACACGTGTTATACATTTGACTCGTGTAACATTTTGTTTTCACCAAATGTGATCCAGGGTAATGTTTTATTTTGAAATCGTTAACACCACAGGCATTCAACTTCTGTATTTCAGTCACTTGCCCACTTGGAGATCATTGTGTAGATAAGTGCATTGTTCGGTTTGTAAATCGGTTTGAATTCATAGCCACAAATATTGTTTGGCTTGTAGGCTTTAAACTCTATCCAAGGGAATGCTTTACTATTACATTTTAAGGGATGTAACCCAGGATCTCAGGCACTTGTTTTGTTCTCTTGGCACTGACCTGAGTCCCTTGACTTGCTTGGCCACTATTGTGTGTAATATTTGCCCTGTATTTTCGCAGGACTGAGGACCGCTCAGATTTGATGCTGTGGGCGTCACCGTGGAGGACGGAGCGAATAAAAACCGAGTTGATCAGCCTGCCGGAAAATGATAGCAGGCTCGAGGCGTGCCCAGCCCTTTTGGCAAGCACGAACGATGGGCCCTTTGCGGGGTTGGAAGGCGTGAATGGCGTCAACAGCTCCCAGGTACCCCCGGGAAAAGATTCGGAGAGAGAAGTCAAAGCGGACTCCCCCAGCGAGAGTACTTACATCACCAGCGAGCACTGCTACCAGAAGCCGCAGGGAGCCGGGCCAGCGGCGGCGCGCGCCGCCAACGCCCGTGCGTGGCGCGAGTGCGCAGGGAGGGACGGGGACAGCGGGTCTGATACGACATACGCTGCCGACTCGGGGAGGACCAACACGGCTGGCAGCTTCATCTACGGCCTGGATGCCACCTACTGCAGCGCTGCAGGAGTAGGCAATTGCGAGGTAAAGAATGTGTTTTATCTATTGCAACTCAATCTCTACGTGTTTAAGTGGGGTTGTTTTTCATCTTCCTGCCTTGTTTTGAAGTTTCATGAACGTAGCTTATCTCCGCCCTCGACAATCTGTAATGTATTACAAGTAGAATTCACTAACTACGTTTTGACAATGTTTGCCTTAAATTTAAGCTGTTGATGGTGACCTGTTGGCCAAGATGACATTGGTTACCTGTAGATATGAATGAGAACTGCTCTAAACGTGTTGTTTATTTGCTGGTGTGTATGGACCATTAAAAAAGATAGCAAGAATTAAAAAAAACAACTTGTGCATTATTGTCCACATCTATGTTGAACTTCTTCCGCGCCGTATGTAGCCAACCGTGTTAATCGGAGGTGCAGGGGAAGGACAACACGCTTGAAACAAAGAGCAGTTGTAAAAAAGCTATTTGCTGATAATGATGTTGTCAACGTGTGCATGTGTTTAAAGAACAATGGTGGAGGCAGCAGCAGTGATGAGACGCCAAGTGTAGAGACAGGCGCCGGGAGTGGAATGGAGGAGGAAGGGGGGCCATCTCTGGGAGCAGCGGGGCTCAATTCCGGGGCCGGCTGGAAATCAGCTGGACATCATCAGCTAGCAGGAGGGGTGGCACAGCAGCACCTGTGCCTTTCTGAGCTGCTGCTGCACGTGGAGGCACTCCAAGACGACGTCGCCAAGCGTATGGACTTCCTGGAAGAGCAGCTGACCAGTACGTCCGCCCCCCCCCCCTCACCAAATTAAATATTGAGTAAATGTCGGTTTTCGTGCCGCCATTCTCAAAGCACAGTGATGTTACGAAGTCCCTTTATTTCACAGATGACTAGTCAGCAGTAGTTTCATGTCTACGTGGTGGCTTGACTCAATCAAGTACATTTTTCAAAGTTACAATGCGACGCCGGCACACGTGGCCGATTCGTTTTCAAACAACGTCACAGGATATATAACTTTCACTGTGAAAGGGAGGAGACATTGTTTTGGTTAATACACCAGGAGTATTTACCAGGGCTGCTCCAGGGCTCGGATCACGAACCTCTGTAACAAGTAGCAAACTCGGTTACCACTTAGCCATATCTGAGACTTGTCCACTCGTTATTGTTCGAGTCCCCAAATCGATCCATTGATTCTTTCCATTACCCATGCTTATCTGCGGATAAGAGAATTCATCCAGAAATGGTGGCAAATTCTTATTCACGGTTATCTGTAAAAGAAGAGTCACCAGTAGTACCAAGCTCATCAAAACTATTCAGGGCTTTCTATAGATAAGAAAAGTTGTTCTATTATCCGCAATGAAAAGAGTACTATCCACAGATGAATATGATTAATGATATCCCCCAATAGCGCGCCCTCCCCTTCCGCTACCAATGTAATTGAAATTTGTTAACATTGCAATTGTCTCTTTTTCTCACTAGGTGGTGCTGTGACATTTGACTAACTGATAATTGGTTGTTTACCCTTCTATCTGGCAACAAAACTGACACCTTTTTGCAAGGAGTCATGTTTGCATAAACCGCAATACCTGCAGTCATAATACAAACAAAAGACATAACTCTGATAATGTGCACTGTCCTTGAAGTTGATTGGTCCACACCCGAGACAGCTTTCCTTAGAGCCTAGTCTCACATGGGTTGGACCAGATGACGCCAAAAGGCGAACTTCAAGGACAGTGCACATTTTCAGAGTTATGTCTTTTGTTTGTATTATGACTGCAGGTATTGCGGTCTATGCAAACATGACTCCTTGCAAAAAGGTGTCAGTTTTGTTGGCAGATAGAAGGGTAAACAACCAATTATCATATTTTTACTGGCAAATGAGGTTCCCATAGTGAATTTGACGAACTGTTCTACATTCTACACCGCTTTAAATGTTGCGTCCTGTGCTCACGTTCTCCTCTGCAGCTCTGGAAGGAATGTTCGAGTCGACGTGTGAGCAGAGCTCGGAGTTGGAGCTGCGTTTGCCACGCGTCAAAAGGAGCCTTCGTCAGATGGCAGCTGACCTGCAGAAGCTGCAGCAGCTCTCCACGCTTTGCGCCTGAATCAGGCTCGTCCTGGCAACAATCACTTTTCAATTCTCACCATAAACCAAAACCTTGGGTAGCACACGAGCACATTCAATACACTTGTTCCTTGCTTAAGATCATCAGATGATTAAAAACATAGTTATCAAAAGCATGTCATGTGTTTTGCTTATCAAACCATGTCTGATAAGCAAAACGACTCAAGTGTATGTATTTTTGAATTCATAGATGTTTTTATTTTACTCATGTTTTTATTAACCACCCTTAGATGCCATGGTTGTAAAACGTATTTTATAATGTTTTTATAGTTTTTAAGAGTTGTGCATATTTAACCCAGCTTAAACTGCCCGTCTGCATTTACAGTGTGTCCACTGCAATCAAAAGGTGAAGTCTATTTCATGTTTTAAAAATGCATTGAAGTAACTTGTTCAGCTGCACTTAAGAGAGTGCAGACATTGAGTGAATATGAATCAGATTTTTTTTTTATCCTGCTTATCTGTCAGTGGGGACAAGGGGAAAAAAATTGCTAATGGATGTTAGCAGGCTGTTTTTGCATAATTTTAAGACACATTTGGTAATTGGCTTTTCATAAAAAGGCCATTTAATTGCAGACTGCGTTCCACCATGCCTCAATCCTCACTACAGAATCAGACCGTTGAACCTTATGGCGGTACCATAGTACCCCAGCTCTCGCATGATATCTGTTGATGGTCGGCGATGTGGCAATCGACTCATCTCGACGAGCTGTACACGATGCACCACCACGTGGTGCGTACGAGCGTTCAGGGTTTCAGCGCAATCGTCCTCGCTGCGTTTTGACATCGAGGAGTAGCACCGATGTCGGATCGATTGGTACCCCAGTCGCGGAGTAAGTACACCCCTGGGAAAAAATAGTGTCCCAGAAATAAAATATTTAATTGCCTTGGCCATTTTGTATTATTTGGTACCCCGGGGTACCGCCATGAGGATCAGTTTTTGTATTTCCCGTAATTTGTGAGACAATGTGGCACACCATTCCCTCGTTGTGGTCTTTCTGCATGCTCGTTTCACAAAGCCTACAACCTGGAATTGGGGCAATCATTACAGAATTTAATCATTGACATTGTTAATGGCTCCGCCATTGACGGAACCATTCTGACGTGGCCACGATGCTGTTAGTTCTAATATCCCAATCGGAACGTTTTTTAGTCCAAATCTGAGTATTAACTTGACACGTCATATTTAATAACTAGCACCGTCAATAGCAGTTTGTCCTATGAACGAGGAAGTTGTGGGCATATATGTAGAATGAAGGCGGTAACCAAGATGGTTTTGGAGTGTCACCCAGAGTTTGGTAACCAAAGGGAACGCAGACAGATTTTAGTGACGGTCCGAAAAAGCAAACTGTTGGGGTCCGGTGATAACTGCCATAGCTACACAAGCTAACAAAAGTGAAGGAAAAGTGTGGTCTCAAAAATAGCATTGAACCGAATGACCTATCCATGTTATTAAACAAAATAAATTTTATGTTGGAAGGGACGCAACTTAAAAACGCAGTTATTGAATGTGGATTGGGATCAAAACGAAAGAGAGATAGTGACAGTAAATAGACGATACATACGTGTATGGATACTACTCGAGTCAGTAGATACTATTGTAGAGCCAGATGCTACTGGAGAGTCAGTAGATGCTACTTTAAACAGTAGATACTTTACAGGCAGTAGATACTACTGTCATTAGATACTACGGTCAGTAGATACTATATAGTGAGTAGTTAATACTAGTCAGTCGATACTACTTTAGACTCTAGATACTACTGACTATTGTATGTAGGGTGTGTAGGTATACATGCCTACTAATAGATCAACTATTTACCCCCCACTTTCTATTACTTTTTCATTCAGGACTTCTGCAAGCCTCTTATAATTTTGTTGACGGACAAACGGAACGCCAGGCTTTCACAATATCTTACTATTTGTGTATTTATGTTATGTTTTTAAAAGACAAGTTTTGAAATATATTTTTCCCACGGGCAAAGCCGGTTACTTGCTGGTATACACATTTACATGGCAGGGGTTTGGCTCAGAGGGTCGGGCAGCATGCCAGGCTAGTCAGCACTTTGCAGTACATGTTTATGGGATGGAGCTGTTTACTTGCATGCACGGTGACAAGATGTGAACTGCCTCTCCTCGTATACAGGTCATGGGTTCGATTCCAACCCTGACGCCTGAAAATTTGGAGTTTGCATGTCTGTCTCTCTGTGGTTGTGTGGATTTTTCTCCGGGTCCTCTGGTTTTTCCCTCCACATTTAGAAACATGCGTTTTAGAGTATTTGGCTGCTATAAATTTCCACGTGATAAGCTACTTTGTTGAGCAATCATTTGTGGCCAGGTGGCTTCTAAAAAAAGCTACATAGCTCAGTGGGCCTTACCTGGTCAAATAAATAAGTATAACCCGTAAAAACAAAGTTTTTAACTCTAAATCCTTTATATGCGTGGCGGCTAGAGTCCTCTCGTCCTCTGGCTTGAGATGGCTGCCACCTATGGGTCAGATGATTGCCTGCCACCATTAAGCAATTGGTAATTAAATATAAAAAAAAAATTCCTAAAAAATGTAAAGTTATGGAAAAAAAATTTCACGAAAATAAATTGTCACACAACGAGTCTGTGTGCAAAATGTCAGCTCGATTGGATCACGGGAAGTGGGTTAAAAAACGACAGAAAGATTTGCACGGTCGTAAGCGCGCAAGCAAGTGAACTTAATATAAAGGATTTTAAAAAAACCTTAGTTTTAAGTAGTTTTTGGTTTAATTAAGCTTGATTGGTTGAGTCCAACTTTGGGTGTGGATTATGCGGTGACATGGTTGAATTTCCATGCCTGTCTCTGATTTGGGATGGGCTGCTGTTCACAGATTGAATTCATGTGCTATGAGCAGAAGATGCTGCCAGGTGAACTTCAAAAGTGAAAACGTGCTTGTGAATCAAGCCAGACATGGAATGGACGTTTAATTTAGGTAACTGGAAGGTCAAGCATTCCTTAGAGTGGAAAGTTCAACGTAGAAAGTTACATGAGCATCGTTTATCTTCTGCAAACAAGTGACTTTACGAGCCATAATTTTAATGGGAAGTTTATACTAGAAGTCTGCCATTTGTCCATCACAGTAATTTGTAAAACAGCCCTGGGACCATGTGTGCTTTAATGCTTGTACGATTGTCGTTTATTAATTACATTAATGTCGGGATGTTCCGTCTAGCTCACGAAAGCTAAATATTATAATTTTGCACGAGTTGGTGCAGTGCAGATATAATTTTAATATGTATTACATAATATTTATAAATATACTGTTTATGATGGAGCTAAATTGTAAACAATATATATAAACCTCATGTGGGCACGAAAATAACTTGGGTTGACTGACTGCAGAAATGTTGCATACTTTGGACTTAATTGCATATATAGATGACATAGCTATACAGGACAGAGCAAATGTGTAGCACACCTAAAATATATAATTTTTATAGTAAACAGCAGTTATGTATTTTTGCAATGTTTGGTTTCAAAACAATGATACGCAGTTATGTTTCAGGTTTTGCTTTCAAAACAGCATGCAATTGTTTATATTGTATATTGTGCAACTTTAATATTGAAGCTATGTTGAGTGACGCATGCTTAACTGGTACCTAGCTGTTTTATACATTTTTAACATTTATATTAATCTGCGATGCAGCTCGTACGTTATCCTTTGTCACAAATTACTTGTTTTTCATGAAATACTGTATAATATTCATGTTATTACATTGCTAACTTTGCAAGTTGTGATATTACCGTTTTTCCCTTTTGAGAAATTTTATATTCCTTTTGAGGAATTGATGTGATGATGACTTTTAGAATATCTCTGTCACCCATTTTGTATAATGCGCAAATGCACCAAACCAGTGTCATCAGTAACATATTAAATTGTAATGAATATTTGTAATTAGTTGATTGAGTGGCATTAGAGAGTAGGTCTGTTGGAATGTGCAGTCATGTAATGAGCATAATGGACCTTTGTATAGTTTTATCCGTGTACAGTAAATGCATACATTGAATTTGTCGACATTGCCCATTTGTATCAGATGGGTCAAGGGCAGAAAGAAACAGGTCTCTAATTTTGTTCATTGGCCTCGTGGGCCATGGGCCATATCCATGACTAGTCTAGCCAATCAAAATGTTTTACTTCTTTACATTAAAATCCGTATAACCAGATTGGTTGATGGGAGACAGTCTCGTACAAGAATAACACCACAATTTATCGGTGCTTATGGGCATTTCTCAGAAAAAGTAAAAATCTTGAGAAATTAGCGTTGCACAGTTAATATTTTTCCGAGTAAATTTCATTTATATCTGTTAATACGTTATAATGGGAGGACCTCAAAATATGTAATTCGATGACATAAGACCCTTTGTATTTGGTTGTGGATATGATTCGATTCACAATTAAAATTGTGCTTGCAACTATACACGTGACTTGTTGTACATTTTGGAAGTGTTGGTGCTTTGTTAAACTATATTTGTAGTATACATTGAAGAATTCAGTGTTGATCCACTGCGTTTTAAAATTGTTACCCATTTGTGCTTATATATTTACATTTTATGAGTAAGAGTCTTCAGAATCTGCAAGTTTTTTTTCTCAACACTGGTGAATTGAAAAATACCATACTGCCATTTGTAATTTTCAACAGATACATTAGTTGCGAGATGAAAATTACACAGATGGCTTTAAAGTACGCATAGGTGGCTATTGTGAATACGAGTCACAAAATTATGAGCCACCATACCTGTGCAGGCAGTACCACTAAACAAAACCACTAGGTTTTACAAACAACTATTGAAATACTTGGGATTGTACTGGATTTAAATCTGGATCCAGTTGGGATCCAGCTGAATAGTAAACAAAATTTTGAAGCTGGATCTTTATTATATTTATAAACTCACGACAATGTTGAACAGATTACAAGGCTATGATAGTTAAATATACCGGCTAGTGTAACCATAGTTATGCGATTAGCAGGTGTGGGCGAAGTCTTACGCAGAATTTTAGACTAATTAGTGATGTTTAATCTCTAAACATCTCCCATTTCCTTGGCGAGGAATGACGGCTTTGGTGCAGTATTGGGCAAGTATTGACTTTTCATATTCCACATTTTATATATTTCGGATATATCCCATTTTTATTATAAATTAAATCTCCATTCTGATTATAGATCTTCCCATCTCTGAAGATCTCGATCCGAAATAAATATTTGATTTATGGATATCTGTGAGATTACAATATGATCACATCTTTTCTTAATACATACATTTGTCTTAACCAATTAAAATCTCATCCCATCTGGATGCATCTATGAGCACCAAATAATATATCCAGCCTTTCCTTGATTCACTTTATATTTCTGAATTATAGCTTCTCTGAATACATCTCAAACAATTCCTACGACCCTAAATCACACAGCTTACATCTCTCCTTTGATTCTCGCATTTTATCTACATATGCTACATCTGTCTGCAGTACGTCTTGTCTACATCTGAGTGGCTACTCACGGCGACTCGCCAACATCTCTTGTGCGAGTACATATCTCTTCTAAGTAGAGTACATCACATCTACCCTTCGATGTTGTTATCACCACATTTTCTGTCCGATTTATATTGTCTCAATGAATAATACTGTTTTGACTCGGATCCACCTGGGTATATCCTGTCAGTAGGAATTTCGAAGTGCATGTAATCCAGTCGAGTGTTATTGGGACTTAAATAATTGGAAGAAATATACTTTTTAAATGTTTTTGTTCACATACATTGACACAGATTTATTGTACACGAGGCATATATTAATAGTTTAGATCTGCATTTGCACATTGACATTTACAAGGAACACTTCAGAAATTGTTGATATTACAACGTATGGTCATGAGAATAGATACGGATACTGAAAATGCACACCCCCCCCCCCCCCTCATTTTACCTCACTGGACCATATTGGACATTTGCAATAGCATCACAGCAAATCTACCCAACAAATGCCCTTTAATAGTGTTTGCAATATTTACACAAGTTCTTTTCACCCTTTTTTATGGGGGGGGGGGGGGGAATCCCAATTGTCTTTTTGCTACAATGGTAATTGGACCCACTGAAAGGTTTAAGAAAGTCACGGTACAGCCCCCGCTCATGCCACTGCTGGTAGAAGGGCCTCCACATGAGGACCTCACGAGTCCCACTCAAGGGTATTGGATGTTACCCTTCTGCATTGGCCATACGTCTTAAAAGACATGGGAATACACGCACACGTGACCTCCACCACATGAGCCCCACCAATCGATTTTGTGGCGTGACCAAAGCTGCGGTGAGCGTTTTTAATACTCAAATGCTGTTCACAAGAGCAACCATTTATCCCAGTCATAAGCAGCGGTCGGCACAGATTGCTGGCGTTAGCCAAGGGCGGTCTTGTACTTTGGCTCGCGCTTCCAAATGATGATCATGCCCTGCGCGTCGCTGGAGGCCAGCAGGCTTTCGTCGCAGTTGAAGCTGACATCGAGCACGGGCGCGCAGTGACCCTGCAGCTTGTTGACGACCGGCTTGCTGCTCCGCTCCACGTCGAAGAAGTACACGCACAGGTCCTCGCTGCCCGACACTGCCGGCCACATGTCCACAAGCGTTACACTCTGGGTTCTATCGATGTGTGTGTGTGATGTTGGTGTCAGTTTCCTTTATTTACCCAAGAGATTAAATGCACTCATTGAAAAATGTGAAACATTGCCTATTTTACAAAGACAACGATATGGATTTAAAACATTATTTTGTTATACAATATATATTGTAAGCAAATCTAGACTAAATTCAACAAGATTTATTTTATGGGATAAGGCTATGTAAATGTGAATTTCCACTCAAGTTGGGATTTGTTAAATCTCAGATTGTTGTATCCATTGCATCATGTAAAAATGTTACATGTTTTCATGCTAATAAAAGCGATGTCACATTGTCACCGAGACCACTTGGTGGCAAGAGCAAATGTGACATCACGGAAGCTATGTCACTTCCTGTGATGTCATACATATGGGCCCTATTTTTGTATTCATCTGAAGATCGGTAACACATCCCTAGAAGTCGGCTTGTAATGACTCGTCTATTAAAACTATTACACTCACAATAATTAATTTTGCACCTCCGATTAAAGAAGTTCAACATACTTCACAATACATGGTGTAAGAATTTGTTATTTCAAATTTGATTCTTATATGCTTTTGCTACCAGATATTTGACATGCATCACACTGGAGAAAAAATAATTATAAATTTTTCACCCAAAACTGTCGGTTCCTATGAATCCATCACTCCATGTCTATATGTAGGCAGATAATGTGTGAGCATCGACACAATCTCTTGGATAGGAACAAATAAGCCATATTTCAATCCGGTGTGCGAAGGTGTGTTGTGTAATGAACTTTATGAAGCACACATGCAAATGGTATCATTCAATAATAGTGCACGCTATGGTGGTCAATCAAATAAAACATTTTGTCTTGAAACGAGTAATTTTAGTATGATGGCATTGCTTACCGACACAAGCTCCTTGGCGGAAGGACATGAGTGGGCAGAAGATGCTGTGAATGTGGTGTGTTTTCTGCTGGATGGGGAAGGTTTTCTTCAGCTGCAATGCTCCTTCATTATCCAGGACCCTGCAGAATTCCATTACAATGTGTCAGGCATTATGCTGCCAATTTGTGACAAGTTCTTTATTAACACAGACTGTATTGTGTGTTGTAATAGATCCCTCACGTTTGGTAACGATGCACCCTTTGGTAGACGGCTATAGATCGGTGTGCAATAGTATTACTAATATCATTAACGAAGCATTTTTGTCGTAAGTGTAAAACTAAATGCCAGATCCCAAGAGTTACAACACAAGCAGTAGACATTGGGAAGCAGAACCTTCTTCCAAAGATAGATTTGGCAACGAAAAATGCAATCCACGTGTAAATGAATAACACTAGCAAGACTTTTTGGATAGCTGACTTTATAAAAAATATTAACTCACTTTATAGACTTGTGGTTAGAAGTGCTCAGTCAAGCAGCGAGGCACCAATTTATAAACTACCTTTAGACATTAAGACAAGTTAATTCAATTACCATGTTGAATATATGAATATCTAGTTGTATGTATAACAAAACATACAACTAGAAAGGATGCTAACCAGCAGCTGATTAAGATTGTGGTATGTAGGCATGTAACGTACTCTTTGGTTCTTTCGGTAAAGTCACATAGGTAGAAAAAATAATAGATCACGACGTTTCGATCGCCACACAAGCACCTGAAGACGATTGCTTGTGTGGCGATCGAAACGTCATGATCTATTATTATTTTTTCGACCTACGTGACTTTACCGAAAGAACCAAAGAGTATGGATTCCTGCAGTCACGAAAAGCTTCAAATCAAGTCATGTAACATTTTAACAATTATGCTCAGGTTACATGCTTCAATATTGCATCCAACGTTCATTTATAATGCACAATATTCTAACTATACCAATTTTACCTTTTAGAATTAGATGCAAAAAATGTATTCTTCAATCGAATTGTTACACCAATTCGTGATACTTCATAGAATCACTGGGTAGGAGTCAGGGACATTATTTACATGCCCAATAGTATTTTAGTATACATACACTATCCCTCTTTTTCCCAAGGTCTTGTGAATAGCATTATTAAGTCCAAAAATGATGTGCAGGACATAAAATTATATCTTCTGTAGATTCTGTTTTGAGATCTTATTCAAACCACATTGTGCCAAGGCTGTTCTTGCATTTTCTACACGAGGTCAGAGCAACATTTCCCCGAAAGCTCGCGTCTTCATCGCAACTTGCAAACAACATTTACCACCGTCGCTGCTGGCATACCGGTACAGAAGCAGCATGTTGACACAGGCGTTGACAAGCAGCGACGGGTCACGTGCCTCGCGACTGATCCATGAGCGCGCCGATATGCTGGTGATAGCACTGCCTTCGTTCACCACCATACGCTTGGCCTTGGTGAGCCTGCCTGTTGGCACATTGCAATGGTGTTCGCCACACATGATGCGCTCTGCACGTCCAGAGCAACGGGTGTGTGCTTTTGAGTCACTCAACTACCAGGCTGTAGGGAAGTGAATGCACATTGACCTACAGGGCTTACACACCTGTGGTCATGTCGAAGAGAAAAGAGAAAATGCTGCCTCGCTCATCACCAGCCCAGAGGATGCGGCCAGGAGAGTCAAAGGACAACGCCAGCACACGCCCTGTCAGCTTGCTCGTTCCACCCTTCACCCGTTTGCCCGTCGAGATGTTCACCACATGCACGTTGTGCTTGCTATTCCCCACCTGCAAATGCGTAGAAGGATCCGGAGTCTAATTGGTTACAATTGGCTAACAGATTGCCACACTGTCATGGCCTCCCAGATATATGTCAGCAATATAAATTATGTACCGTCTATTACAGGAACTTCAGTGCAATTATATGACATTATTATGCACGTAATGATGCATCCTCTAGCAATATGATAAATTGTCATGAGTTTTCAGTTTTCCATTATTATATGCCTGGTCTCATTGTACAATTTTGTTGACACCATTAGCCTAAAAGCAACAGCATATACAGTAACACCTTGATTTACGTTCTCCTGCTTTATGCACTTTCGTTATAACGTACTCAACTTATTGACAGCCAATCCCATTTTACATACTGTGTACCTTCGCCATAACGTACTCAAGATATACAAACTTAACCATTAAGCCCCAAATTTTGTTACGATCCACGGCGAACATGCAGGTGGCAGATGTCTTGAGGCGCCCAAGCGTTAGTGTCCCTGACTGGCTACAGTCCCCTTCATGTGTACTCTATTCATATTTTTTCCCACATACCATGTGTAATTAACCCAAAAAACCTATATTATGGGGGGAAATGCTTTGATTTAAGTACTTTCGATTAACGTTCTGGTTTACAGGATGCATCTTGTGCGGGGTATGTCTGTATATCACGAATAAAAGAGCAAAAGCATCACTTTTAATTGAATATTTGATGCAATATTACATGCCTATTTTGAACATGACTGAGTGGTAGCACTTTCCACTTGTTGTTGCATAGGATTGTGGCTCAAGCCCAGCAGCCATCCAAGTTAATGCTACGGTGTATTTACCAAGGAAATATTCCCAGTCTGCTTCACAGCGGATGTTAAAGATCCATGACGTTATTTGGAAAGAGTAGGCCATGTGTGCCGGCTTCACAATCTAAATTTGGCAGATTTTAAAATGACTTGCAGATTAATAATTATAGCAACATGTCCCCCTCGTGTGAAGTTAGTGGATTATAATCATCTACGCAACACAGTGGCATGTGATATCCTTGCATTCTAAGAATGGCGCGAATACTACACCTACTCACGATTTTATTTGACTTAATCAACTGGCACCGGAACGCAACGTCTCTGCCCAACGCACCACAATGAGATTGTTGTTCATCGGCTGGAAGGTGCAGCACAGAAGCTCGGAGCCATCCGGGTCAGGCACCTGGCGCAGGCAGCGCCCATCTGCCGTATCCCAGAGCCGCAGGGCGCCGTCGAGAGACGTGGACACCATCAGGTCGTTGGAGAGTGACCACGCGAAGTCGGTGACGGCGCGCGTGTGTCCGCGCAGCACGCGCACCAGGGCCGGCGCGGGCACCAGCACGCACACGGACACCGTGCCATCCAGCGAGCACGCTGCAAAGCGCGTCTTGTCGTCATTCGCAAACTGTACCTTGGGCACTGTTGGGGAAGCAGACGTGTTAGGTGGGCTAGGTATACATGGTCAACTTTTGATTATCCAAGGGTAATGGGTGGAGTGGGGGAGTGATGTCCCAGATAAAAACAAACACACCGTGCAAAACCTATGAAAATCAGGCGACTGTTTACCTAAGTAGAATGTGGAACTATTCTGTTATTATTGCTGGTTAAAGTGTAATGCGGTTGTAAACGGCCCTTCTGAGGTGCCGTCAGGGGGGGAGGAGTTAGGTCACGTGGGGGTCAGAGGGGTTGATATAGAAGGAGGGGAACCGGAAGAGCAGGGGGAGGGACGGGGAACCAGGAACAGAGGAAGGCCACGAAGGGCGAAGCAGGGTGTGGCGAGATCGCCACGAACACGGGGGGAGCGAGGATCGGCACCGTTGGCCAGCGGTGACCGACCCGAAGCAGCGAGGAGGCTGCAGTCAGCAGCGGGGCTGCACAGAGAGAGTGGGCAGCGGGTCTGCATACAGTGACAGCCAGAGGGTCTGCACATAGGGGTAGCAGCGGGAGTCTGCATAGGGGTAGCAGCGAGTCTGCAGGGAGGAGGTTACAGTAGATGAAGCAGAGAGTCAGAGGGGAGAGGAAGCTATAATAGCAGTGAATAGCCGGGGGCTACAAATACAGGAGTTATAACAGAGTGCCGTGTGGGTAAAGACGTGAACCTGAATAAAGACACGAAGACAGAAAGAAGTGTTCGAGTCCTTTTATTACACTGGAGTCAGAAGTGAAACGGCATGGCGAAACAACTGAGGAAGAAGAATATCCCATCTCCGGCGTCGGCTTCATCATCGGACGACGACGATCTTCCTCCTGAGGTCGGCTTCACTTCGGCAGAGGGAGAGATCCGTGAGGGCCCGGGTGTGGAGGAGGTTGCCGCTGCGTCTGACCCATCTGCGTTGAAGGACGAAGATTTAAGATGGACCCGGATGGCGGAGCAACTGGCGACCCTAAAAACCGTCATCACGGAGTTGTGTGACCTTGTCACGCCAAGGGCGGCGTTGGAAGGTGATGGTGGTGATCGGCAGGAGCCCGGGTCGTCTTCGATGGCGCCGCCATCGGCCACGCGGCGTGAAGACGCCATCTTGGGCGTGGCGCACCACGGAAGGCGGGAAGCCGCCATTTTGGGGCCGCCACGAGGATCGTCCGCCATCTTGGCGACACCGCGTTGCGACGCCTTGCTGAACTTGCCGCCGGAAGAGTCGGTGACGGACGGAAGCAGGCCAAGGAGCCGCAGTCGTCACCTTACAACTGTTAAGGAGTTCTCCATCGGGGGCGATTGGAGTGCGTTCGCTTGTCGATTTTTGGCGGCGGTACGAACGGCAAGGTGGACGGACGCCGAGGCGCTGGAGGTGCTTCCGACTCTCCTTGACGATGAGTCTGTTCGTTTTTTTCGCTCTATAAAAGCTGCGAAGAAGAAAACATTGCGTGGAGTGTTCGACGAAATGGCGGACGCGTACGAGCCACCGGATGACGGCCATCGCCGCTTCGTGCAGCGGCAACGCGCACCGGAGGAGTCGCCTGTAGCGTACAGGGGCGCCGTGCTGGAACTCGCGATGGCCGCTTACCCGGACACGGAGCCTGACCTGCTGGAACCTCTCATCTTGGGGAAGATGTTGGAGTTATCCCGGGATCTGGGCATTCCTATGCCGGCGTGCGGTCACGAGAAACTCACGTCCCGGACCGTGGCCAAGTGTTTGGACGCCCAGTTCAATCTCCGCCGCTGGAAACAAGTCACGGCGTGGACGGGCGGTCCTGTCGTCGATGGGGGGGCCGTAGGGTGGGACCCTACAAAGGCCGTGTACGTGCCGGATGCGACCGGCCCAAAGGAGCTGTCGGCCGCCTCCACTCCGTGGCCGGCTCGAAGCGGGCCGGGGCCGCGGGCTCCGCCGCCGGCGCGGCCACGTCGGGACGGGGGGCCTGCTGCGCGCCGACCCGACGTCGACTGTTTCCGCTGCGGCCGTCGGGGCCACTATGCCAGGGACTGCTGGGCCCGGGTTCCGGGGCCACCCCAGCAGGAGGCCTCGATTGCGGACGCCCCAAAGAAAGACCCTCCGGCACAGGTGTGGACCGGCTCAGCCCCCCCCTCAGCCTGTCGCGCGGGCAGTGGATGTTCTCGAACCTCCGCTTACACCGGGACCGGTTGAAGGGGGACCGGCTGACGGGATTTTGCGTCTTCCAAGACAAGCCGGCCGTGACACCGCAGGGAGGAGGACCTTCCGCTTGTGGGACGCCGACCGGAGCCGCAGAACCCACGGGACCTGCAGCTCTTCCTATCCCTCCGCGGACGCGAGTACGGGATGTTTCTGGACGCGAGCGGGACAGTGGCGGGCCTCCAATGGCGACGGAAGAACTTGCGCCCGTCGCCCCTAAAACCCTTCCACGTTCCCGCTCGGCGGGTGGGCCGCCGACCGTCCGGGACGGCCCGGCTACCCGTACTCGCTCGAAATCCCTCACGTTTCGTTAGATTGTGTTGTGTTGTGTTATTGTTATAATGTCTTCAATGCTTCGTGTCTTTTTGCGTGTTGGCCCTTTACACCCGCATTGCTTTTCAGGTTGCAATTCAGCCGAGGTCGGCTGGATTTTCTTTAGGGGGGAGGGTGATGTAATGCGGTTGTAAACGGCCCTTCTGAGGTGCCGTCAGGGGGGGAGGAGTTAGGTCACGTGGGGGTCAGAGGGGTTGATATAGAAGGAGGGGAACCGGAAGAGCAGGGGGAGGGACGGGGAACCAGGAACAGAGGAAGGCCACGAAGGGCGAAGCAGGGTGTGGCGAGATCGCCACGAACACGGGGGGAGCGAGGATCGGCACCGTTGGCCAGCGGTGACCGACCCGAAGCAGCGAGGAGGCTGCAGTCAGCAGCGGGGCTGCACAGAGAGAGTGGGCAGCGGGTCTGCATACAGTGACAGCCAGAGGGTCTGCACATAGGGGTAGCAGCGGGAGTCTGCATAGGGGTAGCAGCGAGTCTGCAGGGAGGAGGTTACAGTAGATGAAGCAGAGAGTCAGAGGGGAGAGGAAGCTATAATAGCAGTGAATAGCCGGGGGCTACAAATACAGGAGTTATAACAGAGTGCCGTGTGGGTAAAGACGTGAACCTGAATAAAGACACGAAGACAGAAAGAAGTGTTCGAGTCCTTTTATTACAAAAGTAATCGTTTACCAAGTCAGGTGTAAGGAGCTGCTAATAGAAACTGTGTGAAAATGAGCATGGAATACCATATTTTGGATTTATTTTACTTTGCACAAACATAGTTAATCCGCAACAGGGACAATCCACGCATGGATAGCGGAGGGTTAATTGTACAAGTCCGAGAGCATGCGCTTATAAGGATGACTAGAACCAGAAAATGTACTGATGAAGTTTCTCAAGGACAGTAAACGTTGACAAGTATATTCTTGTTGAACATGTTATTGTTGGTTTAATGTCGGGATCGAACCCACGACCTCCTGTATACCAGAAGAGGTAGTTAACATCTCATCACCGTGGCACTCAACACTGAGATGTTTAGTCAGATCCTTTAATAAGTGCTTTGAACGTGTGAGGATATTGGGAGTACCCGGAGAAACTTGGGAGAGTTTTACAAATCTCTTAAGTCACAATCCATTGCTTCCAACGTGCTGATTACAGGCTTGATCCACCACACACAGCTAAATTATCCCCAGCTAAAATCCAACGGTAGATGTCACACAAGCCACGGGTCTCTGATGGCCTCACCAGCGTCAGTGTGCTGATCGAAGACGTGAAACATTCCCGCAAAAGCGTAGTTTTCTTCCAAGGAGGTGTCACCAGCCATGGCTCTGCTTGCCTCTGCCACAGATGTTGGCACCACACCCACAGTACTCCTGGGATACCCAAACAATGCAGTGTTCTGTCAGACAGAGGGCTGCACAAGCACCCGAAAAGTGCAATTCCCTGCCCAAATATATAGAGGTGTCTTCTTGGTTCTTTCGGTAAAGTCACGTAGAACGTGACTTTACCGAAAGAACCAAGAAGATGAATCCCTGCAGTCACGAAAGCTTTAAATCGAAATATATAGAGGTGCTACTCATCCCGTTTACAGCCCTACCAGCCATGCAAATGGCACACATTGCTATGGTGGAGGTCAGTCTACCCATAGGACAACCACTGTTGGCTTCCCCACAAAGTAACATTCATTTTATCGACCACAGAGAAAAGATCGGCTGAGTCAGCCTCCAACCAGCCATCACTACTGTTGTATTGATATAAATAACTTCTAATTCAGTCTTTTAGTATAAAACTACATATTTCATGTCAAACTAACAAGAGCTTTTGAACCTGTTTCAAACATTCTACAACTTAATAACCTTCAATTAAGGCAATGACACTGCACATACAGACCAAAACCCTTAACGACTCTCAATGTTTGAGGACACTACTATCGAGTACACTGTGCTTGTTACAGATGACTGCCATCTAAAGTGGCTTCTTGAAAGTCTGAAGGAATATTTACACTATGAGACCTCCTTTACCAGTGGCAAAATAGGGTAAAATCCTATTACTATTAATATCTGAAGGAATACTTTTACAAGCAGAAATGTGTGAGCAGCATGAACTTGCCTGTCTTCAATGGCACGGTTGAGCTGGGCTTGGTATTGGTAGGAGCTGCGGCTCATTGAGCGTCTGTGCCCACGCGAGCCTTGGCCACGCTGGTCGTAGGAGCCATCCTCAAAGTCCTGTCACACATAACAGGCACACAGTTAATGGGTTAATCACTGGATCGTCGTCACATTCTGTATTTTTCCAATTACGTTGTCAGCATCATATGAGAGTCCTTAAGACAAAATTGTCCCTGGGAATAATTTTTTTCGCAAACAATCTCTTCAGCAGGCCATTGTCTGGCCGACACAGGCACGGATTTCTGTGGATTCTTTGTCTCGTGACATAATATCAACAGCACAATTTTAATACGTTGTGGTTTATAGAGCAAAAAGTGCACAACCCAACAAAAACCTTGAGCGATGGTCTCTGCAACATCACCCCCATGCACATTCCAATGTCAATCGACTAACATGAGACCAATGCAATATTGTACCTGCCTGCAACTTTTGTTCTAATTAACAAAGTTTCAAACTCATTCCAGCATGGGACACATCCTAGTTACTAACACGGTTCTTGTATATGGGAACACTTTTCGCACAATGAAGAACGTGTCTGTTCTAACGTGGTTTCTGAGCGGTCGACGACATACTACTTTCTTGAGCTAAAAATAATCTAAAGGTGACAAAATACGTTTCAGCCCTGGCTATTTCACGCAAATCTAAAAAAACTGCTGAAGTGGATACCTTAGAAAAATGCACACCCCACATACATTCTGAGACACATGACCCTTTGACAGCAATGTATATTTTTACAAGAATAATACCCATATTGATGAGGCTTCACGCTCTGGAAATACATGACCTTTATAACAAGTCTGGTATTTTTTTGTTTGGAACGGAAAGCTTTACGAATAAATGCAACTCAAAGAGGAACAATGGAACTACATGTATTAAACTTTCGGTTCTTCCCTGTCTCAGCCTCGTTGTGCGCTGCGTTGCACCGCTAGCGGAGTAGTTAACCTCGTGTCCAATAAACCCTCAGAGCCAGGATGAACGTCCGACTCCAAATGTCATTTATTGAATTTAACGAGGTTAACTACTCAGCTAGCGGTGCAACGCCACGCACAGCGAGGCCGAGACAGTAAAAAGACAATGCTTAAAGTCCCACAATGGACAATTGTGGCTGGCTTCACTGGGACGCGATGTGTGCCGCCATCTTGAATTATCTGTGTAATGGCCAATGCCCGCGTGGTTGAGCGGGAATCTTAAATCGCTTACTTACTGGTCACGTGACCAAACTTAGCATCAAAAACAGGAAATTCATGTGTACATACGCCCCACCCCCCCATCTGCCATGAGGCAAAACCCCTGCGGTGAGGCAGAACATTCCCACACTATCGGCAGATCTCGCGTGTTTCATATAACCACAACTATAGAGAGCCATTGCGCCGTGGTGGGGGGGGGGGCAGCCGTGCCTCCATTCGGTCGAGCGTCGTGCGGCTGCTGCGGATGCTGTTGCTGTACGCGCGGAAGCTGCTCTGCTCGGAGAGTGGGCCGTAGCGCTGCGACAGCATCTGACACCGCAGGCGCAGGTACTGCTTGCGGACGGATGGGTCGTGCCCAGCCTTGGCGTTCTCCCGCAGCAGCTGGCTCCGTCGTCGGATGTACTGCGTGCGGAACTGCGGGTTGTTTGGCGTGCGGTAAGCATTGTACCTTGAAAGACAAGCGTGCTATACGTTACGAACGTGGATTTGTTTGCAAGCATGTGTGGTCCTGTGACATTTTGGGCATTCGTCGCCAATGGCCACATCCCCCCGAATTAGATCTCGGAAGCTAAAATAGTGCTGGGATGGGCGACCACTATGCAAAATATTAAATAATCACGAGCGTCGTTGTAGAGAATAGAAACAAAATAGATAAGCAGGAAAATATGGTGGCGACCCATCAAAGTACCATCCAGGCTCCAAGATGCACCACCCAGGCGCCAACCTGCTTAGATTAATAAATCTGATGTGATTAAGGTCTGAAATTCGAAATGTATTTTATTTACACTTCAGTTGCAAACATATGGTAAGACGCAGTAGGGGATTCGCAAGAAATACTGTCTGTCAAATTGGACACACCCAATATTCCTACTCCGACCACCGACACATTACTGTGGCACCTTTTAGCAATTTACTAACAGCGCACCTGGCATCCACTGCAAGCACTTGCTGCCAAACGGAAGCCATGGTGAAGTTTGTTCAGCCCAGAGATCTGAATATAAACAACGCAGACAACATAAACACGGTTAACAACAGCATTCACAGGTCTGCCAATTCTCAACTCTGACCCCCCCCCCCCCCCCCATATTACGTTATTTCCCCCTATAGAAGCTACATCTGTACCTGGCACTGACCAGCGTGGCGAGGTATGGTCAGTGAACCCCCTCCACCCACCAGCGGCAATGCGCGGTGGGTGACCCTCATCCAGCAGTGGATCGATGACAGCGCTGTCAATTATACGGCCATAACAGAGGTTTTATTCGGGTTAGATCCGCGTAAATATATAAATGTGTCGTTAAAACCCGCCACCACCCGACACAGCCAACTAGTAAGGGTTGTCACGTAAACAGAACGTGCCAATTCGTCACTAGTACAGCACTAGTGTATAGTGTAGTGTATAGTGTCGTGTATAGTAGTGTAGTGTATAGTGTAGTGTATAGTGTAGTGTATAGTGTAGTGTAGAGTAGTGTATAGTGTAGTGTATAGTAGTGTATAGTGTAGTGTATAGTGTAGTATACTAGTACAGCACTAACCGGTGTGTAGTGTAGTGTATAGTGGAGTGTATAGTGTAGTATATTAGTACAGCATGCCGGTGTGTTGGAGAGCCAAGCAACAACATTTACAATCCGAGTACGACGTTTCGCCAGTAATTACAACCAGCTTCATCAGGCGACGGCCAGATTCGTGGAGAAGTCCACCACGTTGACGTGACAACCCTTGCTAGTTGGCCGTGTCGGGTGGTGGCGTGTTTTAACGACACATTCATATATTTACGCGGATCTAACCCGAATAAAACCTCTAATATCGATATTGGTCACGAAAACCCAATGGGCGCTAGAAACCCAAGAAACCTTCCTGCTTGAAGCCTGAGAAACCCAAGCAGCCGACATCAGCAACATTACTAACCACATCGACTGCGGCATTCTTTTAATATTCATTGCGCGAATGGCTTGGTAGCTGCTCGAAACGCGTGATAAGTTGTCGAACCAAATTTTTTTTTAAAACCAAACCGGACCGCCTCAGCCATTGCCAGTGGCCTGTTGTAAGGGAACGGCGGCGGTGGTGTTGAACTTAAAACGACTGCGATGGGGTTTGCTTTGGGCTTACCGCGTTTGCGCTCGGGTGGGCTTCGTTCGAGTGTCGTGTCTGCTTTGCAAGAAAGCAGGAGGACGTCGCCAAAAGAAGGGAAGGGAGCGCGACACGAGGCGAACGCCACCGCGGTAGAATATTTTTTTTTATCGCGATTAGGCAACGCCCGCTTCACCCAGTTCGAGGAGGCCGAACCCGTTGAGGTGACGTCACTGGGGACACGAAATCAAAGTGTACCCAATAAGCACGAGTTTGCCAACATAGGATTAATGCAGAGTGTACCCAATAAGCATGAGTTTGCCAACATTGGAATTAATAGTGTACCCAATAAGCATGAGTTTACCCCATAGGAATTAATAGTGTACTCAATAAGCATGAGTTTACCCCATAGGAATTAATAGTGTACCCAATAAGCATGAGTTTACCCAATAGGTATTAATAGTGTACCCAATAAGCATGAGTTTAGCCCATAGGAATTAATAGTGTACCCAATAAGCATGAGTTTGCCCCATAGGAATTAATAGTGTACCCAATAAGCATGCGTTTGCTCCATAGGAATTAATAGTGTACCCAATAAGCATGAGTTTAGCCCATAAGAATTAATAGTGTACCCAATAAGCATGAGTTTAGCCCATAGGAATTAATAGTGTACCCAATAAGCATGAGTTTACCCAATAGGAATTAATAGTGTACCCAATAAGCATGAGTTTACCCAATAGGAATTAATAGTGTACCCAATAAGCATGAGTTTGCCCACATAGGATTAATGCATAGTGTACCCAATAAGCATGAGTTTACCCAATAGGAATTAATAGTGTACCCAATAAGCATGAGTTTAGCCCATAGGAATTAATAGTGTACCCAATAAGCATGAGTTTGCCAACATTGGAATTAATAGTGTACCCAATAAGCATGAGTTTACCCAATAGGAATTAATAGTGTACCCAATAAGCATGAGTTTGCCAACATTGGAATTAATAGTGTACCCAATAAGCATGAGTTTACCCAATAGGAATTAATAGTGTACCCAATAAGCATGAGTTTACCCAATAGGAATTAATAGTGTACCCAATAAGCATGAGTTTAGCCCATAGGAATTAATAGTGTACCCAATAAGCATGAGTTTAGCCCAAAGGAATTAATAGTGTACCCAATAAGCATGAGTTTAGCCCATAGGAATTAATAGTGTACCCAATAAGCATGAGTTTACCCAATAGGAATTAATAGTGTACCCAATAAGCATGAGTTTAGCCCATAGGAATTAATAGTGTACCCAATAAGCACGAGTTTACCGGATATGACTCAATACAGAGTGCACTCAATACGTATGCGTTTACCCGAAAGGACTTAATAATGTACGGAGTGTATCCCACTAAGATTGACGATATATTTCTAATAGCACTTATAATACACAGTTCATCCAATAATGAGTTTATGCAACAGAACGTAATACAGTATACCCGATATGAATGATGAGTTTACCCAATAAGGCTTAATATAGAGTTTACCCAATAGGAATACGTTTACCCAATAGGTACAAACGAATTGGTGAATCTGCGTTGGCAGTTGTGCACATGCATAATTAACAACAACAAAACTCAACACATTCGTAAATAACATTTCCTGAAAATAAAAAAATAGGGGACCTTACAAGCAAGTAACCATTCATTTAAACTAGTCATCAGACATTTCTTTAAAATGTAATTTTCATCAGATACCATGTTGGTGTATCGTTAAGTCTCCAACTCTTATCGTACATTGTTGAGCCTCTGTTTTTTCACGAATGTGTTGAATTATTTCAAATATAAACAGTAAAAAAACATAACGAATAAAATATAATTGTCACAATATTCAATATTACAATTAATATTACATTTCACGATATGATTATTACAATCTCATAAAAAAAATTCTTTTCTAAGCCTAAACCACATGGATATTGTATTGCCTACAAAACTGACATTTTAAGTTTTCCTTATCTTTGTAATTGTACTTTGTTGTTGTTGTGCTTTACTTTCAATAAGAATAAAGATCATGTAAAAGTGTTTCAGCCCCGGTTTACTCAACATAAGCTTTCAATAACTGCTCATAATTATTGCAACTTTACAATCTATTCCTCGTAGAACACAGATCCTGTCAGAACAAAATGACGGCTTTAACAAATGTATGTGGTAAACATTTTCAAAGCACTAACTTCATAAGTATTGGCTATCCGCTCGGTTTATGTACTATACTCATCGATACCCAAATGGAACATCGTGATGCAGACTATCACAGAAACTTACAAATGTACACCATGGCCTTGACTTCCTGGACTGTCAAAGATCTCACCACCAGACATACGCCGTGATGCCGCAACGCACCGTGAACTACACCAATCAGAGGCTGACCCAAACCTGCCAATCAATGATGTAAGTATGGATATTGAGCTTCTTTCCCACCGTACGTAGCTAACCGTGCTCATCGGAAATGCGGGTGAAAGACAACAAACCAAACACAAAAGGGAGTTCTGAATACATTGGTTTTCAATATAGATATGAAGCTTGACACGGACACCAATTTGCATTATAGCTCTATATTTCCTCCTTGCTTCGTATTGCACGCCTTTGGAATTCCTTCACATCGTCTCTTATCTTAAGTTTCACAACCTGTACTCAATTCAATAAACGTATTGGCTCCCTGATAGCGAAAGGAAGAGCGTTCCAGACGGCCTAAACCAACAGCTGAGATCTCCAAAGAATGAACTCCTTAAAACAAGTTTTTTTTAAACAAGGGTTTTATTAACAACTTCGTTTAACTCACTGTCGAGAAGTACGTCAATGATGTGGCGACTGCTCCCACATGAACGCTTACTTGAATTAATTGATTACTTCCGTAACTGGTTCACACGGAGCAGGCGATTCGAGAGTTTAGGGAAAGTGGCGTTTTTTACCTACACACAAATCTATATAAATAATAAGGCGTCCATACAAAATGTTAATTGCATAAAAGTAGCGAATTAATTTATTAATTGATGCCGATTTTGATAGAGGCATGCATTGTCACCGGATCTGAGTACGTGTTTAAAATTTGGAATTGATTGGACAACATGAAGTAGGCTAACTTTTGATTACAAGATTTGACCACGACAAACGTAGGACTCAAGTTAAGTAAAACCGTTAGGAAAGCCGTTTTGGAAACACACAAACTCTGCGTGACGGGGATATTAGCATCGAAACGGAGTGGACCAACCCAATGGAATTCAAGCAACGTCCCCAAACTCTCACCCGATCAGCAATCCCTACCGCCGCACTGGCAGGGCTTCACATCACACCATCTCATCAGTGACCCCCGATCACCAGACCGAACACCAAAACCACGGACCATAGAATGTGGCACTGCCCGAAATGGACATTTTGAGGCAGTGTATCAGCGATTCGCCAACACTCAGTGCAATAGAGCGGCTAAATCAATTTGAACAGAATCTCTCAAATGTGCTCTTCATTTTTGTCCAAATATCGCTGGTAAAAATTCACAGTTTTGATTTCATTTTGTCAGGAAGTGGCATTTTTTGAGAAAAAAATGAAGCGAGCAACAGTGATCAAGATGTTGCCAATATTTTGAAAAGTGGGTTACATAATTATCGTGGCTTTTATACTGTACGACATATCGTAGGATCACCACATTGCGGCAACTCTGCTACTAAGTGACTAAAGGTCGACCCTATAAAAAAAACATCTTGATATACACACCCAATAAGCGTACTGGACCCAATAAAATGCATTATGGGTGGTGTAGAGTACTGTACTGTTTTAGGATGTATCTAGAGATGTAGGCAGTATGCAAATGTGAAGCATTGGCACACCAAGGAATGGAAGTTGCTGGCTGTTGTGACGGACATTTCATTTACAGAATGGACGTTTCCGTGAAGAACCTCTCTCAGGTTTTTTCGGTAAAGTCACGTAGGTAAAAAATAAAATTAAAAGTTAATAAAAGTAATAATGGAAATAAAGTAAAATAATAAATCACGACGTTTCGGAGGCAACACAAGTCTCCGTCATCAGGTGGGACTGTCACAGCTAATTTTATTTTTTACCTACGTGACTTTACCGAAACAACCTAAGAGTATGAATCCTTGCAGTCACGAAAGCTTCAAATCTAGAAAGAACCTCTCTCTTGCAAAACGTCGATTTCAGGACGTTGTTAATATGTTACAAAAAGAGCGAGCCGTGGCTGTGTTTGATTAAGGCATGCAACGTGGTTTTTGGTTTGACTTAAGCAGAGCATTTCGGGGTGTGTAACCAGACTTCGTAGCTATGATTAAGACTCCTCTTCCCAAGCCTTGACGCCAGATGCATTGACAACGCTACCCTATTCCACACAACAATGTGAAAACGAAACGCTATTTTTGGACCCCCTTGTCAGTGACACGCATGGCATGAACTGTCACGTTGCTTGCGGTAGCCTAGCGACTCAGCAATCTGTTGGCTACGGGACAAAAATTAACTCGGCCATTCCCTCCAGTGTACACAAGGCACAGTAGTAGATCTTGCATCAAACTAACACCAACCACGAATGACGCTGATGTAAAATAACAAATTGCATCAACGGTGAACACGATTGTGAGAAAGTATATGATATATAACGGCTGAATTAAATATTGTTATTTTAACAAAACAAAAATATCAGAATGTTCGAAATAAATTGCATAAATGTGATCATTCCTTGAGTGGTCTTAGTTTCACGGAACGTGAGTAATCAGGAACGTTTAGGAGCTTAACTCTAAATTGTCCCGGCAACATGAATGAACTGTTGATTTCTAGGTAATAAGACAACCCAGTATTGGGCTTATTCAATATTTGCCTTCACATAAACACGTGGAAATCGACTACTGTACACGCCATATTCACGGATACATTTCTCAATCAATGTGTTTTTCGTAACGCTCAAGTCGCATGTCCTGCAATTTGATCTCACAGACACTTGTGCGTTCTTACGAATGCCGTTTTAACTTAACGACATGGGAAATGAAGTACTGTCCCTGCAGGGAGTCTGGTAACCCGAAGCATGTTTTTATTTTTTGCACACCACTGCACAACATCAGCTCAGTAACAGGAGGACAACATGATGTGACGACGATGGGTGTTCTTTTGCTAAAATACAATTTCCGAAACACCATTATGGATTCTTCCGACTGAAATTACACACTGGCTATTGGACTATT